ATCAGTTCTCAATACATCAGTGCATTTCTAAATGCGGTTAAATAATGTTTGAGATATGTAAAAATAAACATTTCTTTAAACCCTTTTGTAATTCAAATATTCTGGCTTCAGTCCAGTAATTGTATGTCTTCAGATATCAGCAACCATATAACTGTATGTACAACAATGTAACTCCTATGATTAATTTCTAAATCTATTAAACCATAGGTCTAAAACTCTATTCCTGGAGGGCCACAGCTCTGCGCATATTTGCTCCAACCCTAATCAAACATAGCTGATCCAACTAATCAAGGAGTTCAAGACTACTGTATACTATAAAGCTGCGGTCGGTCACACTAGAGTTTGAGCATGTGAAATTTTGTAGTACAGCACTGCGAAAAGGGGCGGGAATAAACGATGATTAGACATTAAAAAAGTGAGCGATTGGTCCGTATTTTAAATTTCTGTGCAGAGAGGTCATGTTTTGATTTTATAGTGGGCTCACGCAATCATCATGTGATGCGATTTCGCAGGTCAGAGTTCACCAATCTTGAATTTTGCAACGCAGCGAACCACAAAACTAGCCGCATGAGCTTGTGTTTCCGGTCTGATGCATTCATGTGCATATGAATGAAAGTTTATGGGGAGAAAAGTGGTTGGAGCTAAACTATGTAGAGTTGCGGCCCTCCAGGAATTAAGTTTGGGACCACTGCATTAAACCATTCAGAGCAAAAAGGCACATATCAAAACCTGAAGATGAATAGAATATGTTTAGAATAATGTTGGAGGCTTTTTACTTTCTAAAATGTATCAATTATGGATTAAAGAAGGCATTTTACAGATCGTGTTACTTTTTTTCATCTAATTTAGCAACATAATTTAAAGTATGTATGAAGTATGATGATATAAGTAGCTTTTATAAAGTTAAGACCATGTCAGATTTGATGGTCTAAATCAGGGGTTCCCAAACTTATCAGCCCAAGACCCCCATAATGACAATGCCAGTGACTCGCGACCCCCAATATCCTCTAAGGTGGTTATAAATACAGAAACCTTGCATGCAACGGTGCACATTCCAATAGACCCAATTCTATTCTTCATTTATTTTTATTAATGCATGCGAGTGCTGTAAACGGGCCAGAAAGATTAACCTGGTGTTATAAAATCCGTCTGCTGGATCTGACGCTATTGCTGTGTCTTTAATATTATGTAATTACCCCAGGGGTCGCAATTTTAATAGAACTAGTAACTATAAGCTACTATAGTAACTGTATAGTATATATAACTATGAACGACAATATTTTTCTCGTCAGTAGGTTATGGATAAAATATGGTAATTCTAATGGTTTATTAAAAATAAATAGATTTTTGGAAATCACCAGGCGACCTGGAGCTAAAATCTGCAGGACAACGACCCTCCAGGGCCGAGTTTGGACGCCCCTGGTCTAAATCGATTGCCTCAAACTTGATTCCTGGAGGGCCTCAGCTCTGCAGTTTCACGCCAAGCCTAATCAACCACAGCTCATCCAACTAATCAAGGTGTTCAAGACTACTATGGACTGTTAGTCAGGTGTGAGTTGGAGGAGATTGGAGCTAAACTACGCAGAGCTGCAGCCCTCCAGGAAATGAGTTTGAGTCCCTTGGTCTAAATCAAGTGTGCATCAATATTTTCATCCTTTTTGTTTTGTGTTCAGACCACAGTTCTGCAGTACCAGACACAGAGAGAGCACATGAAGATCCAGAATCTCCAGGCCCCTCCACAAACCCAGCAGAGGACCCGTCGGACATGTCAAAGTTTGAGTTTGAAATGAGCACGCCAGCTGGCAATGTAAATGAGCTGGAGCTCATACAGGTGATGGAAGACGCTGATGTAAAACAAGGCACCATTAAAATCGAAGACGATCCTGATTCACTTACATTAGAGCCTCCTTCATCCAATCTAGCTTTAGCATCTTCAGCCAACTCCATTCAAGAGATACCGCAGATCTCCTCTCCTCCAGTGCCTGAGAGTGATGGAGATGCTTTGCTGGCCTTGGCTCCAACTGCGGGCAGTGACTCTGGTTTCAGCAGAACTGTCGAGAGCCCTGATAAAGTGCATCGCTGCAACATTTGTGGGAGAGGGTTCAGACGTTTCTACTGCCTGAAAACACACCAGCGCATACACACAGGGGAGCGTCCATACCCGTGCAGATACTGTGAGAAGCGTTTCCGCCATCTGGACAGCTTACACAAGCACCAGCGCATTCACACGGGAGAGAGACCGTACCGCTGCGCTGAGTGTGGATGCTGCTTCAGAGAACTCGGACAACTCAAAAAACACAGACTCAAACACTCGCCCACATTCGTTCCTGTGGCCAATCCCACCTTCCCGCTCCTCCCAGCCGGGCCCTCCTATGTGTGGCCACATCTCAACACACAGTCTTTGGATTCAGTCTAGGCTTTACATGTTTAAAACAGTAATTCTGGACACTTTGTGTATGATGTTATGACAGCATTGAATTACTTTATTAATTTACTGTTTTAAAAGAAAAGCAGACACATTCAGTTGGATAATTCACCCTAAAATGAAAATTGTCATCATGTACTCACTTTCCATATATTCAATGCTTTTCGAGTTTTTTTTTTTTTTTTTTTTTTGCTGTGGGTGTCAATGGCTGCCATTTTCCAACATTCTTCAAAATATCTTCTTTTTTTGTCCAGTAGGAAAACGAAACTTAAGATTTAGAACCACCTGAGGGTGAGTACATTTGTATTTTTGGGTGTCAGCTGTCACTAATGGCAAGTTTAATCTCTTTTCAAATAACAAATAGAACCTTAAATGTGTAAGTACAATAAAAGTGTGTCAAGTAAACATTCATTTGCAAAAGAAATACTTCATTTAAAGAAATACTACACTTTTATTTTCAAAATTGGCTCAATTTGCGTGTTTCTTACAGTTAAACAGTCGTGGGTTTTACCATTTTTGAATTCATTTAGCCAATCTCTGGGTCTAAGGGAGAACTTTAAGCTTAACTTAGCATAAATCATTGAATCGAATTAGACCGTTAACATTTTGCTAAACATTTTTTTTTAAAGTGTTTACATATTTTTTCTGTTTTAAAGCTCTATTGTGTAGTCACATCATGTACTAAGTTGCTATATTTTAGGCTGATGTGGCTAGTAACTTAACGCTTATTCCAATACCATTGCTCCTGCTGCAGCCTTTGTTACACCAATGAACTTTGTTGATTATTTTATGGAGTGAGTGTACAGTTATTAGCCATATGGGCCTATAAAAAACAACTTTTCATTTTCTGCCAGACTTACTACACAATGCAAGTATTAAAGAATCAAGCTTTTAAAAAGGAGAACATATTAAAACTGTAATGCTACGGTCCAATTCCAGTCAATGATTTACGCTAAGCTAAAAGTACTCGCATCATACCACAGATCAGTTAAATAGATTTGAAAATGGTAAAGCTCAACAGTTTAACTCAAGGGAAATTTTGAATTAAAGTGCTCTTATAAAAATCAATTTAAGGTAATTGAGTGTTTCTATAAATATTCTGTCTTGACTGGAATCGTTTAATTTGTAATATAAAACCCTGATTAAAAATGAGTCATTGGATTTATATATATATATATATATATATATATATATATATATATATATATATATATATATATTTTTTTTTTTTTTTTTTTATCTTAAAATCAGGGAGATTTATGTCCTTTCATTAATCAGTCTCTTTACCTAAATCTGAATATTCAAAATGTTTTAAAGAGATTCAAAAATAAACCAAGTTTCTTTTTAATCCAATATTGGAATAGACGTGAGGTCTTCATGAATATTCTGAAGCATGTTTTCGCAGAATAGACTTGCAACGGTGGAACATTAATCTCATATTTTAGTAACAAATTAATATGTTAGTTAAAAGTTTCTACATAAAGTTTTTTTGGTCACGAGTAAGTAATTATAAAATTTTCATTTTGAGCTGAGAACCTTAACAAGTTTAACTCTTCAGCTATCAAAATAACCTGCAACATTTAAGTACAATAACAGCATTATCAAAACAAAGAATCAGAACATTTTCAGCTGTTATATATTTTTCTGGCCTAGTGTGTTTTGTCTAGATTGAAACACAGCATAAAAGTGCTGAAGTATTGTTTTGTATTTTAGAGATATTTAATACTTTAAGAAATATTCTCTGAAATATTTACGAAAGGCTGACACAGTGGCTCAGTGGTTACCACTGTCAACCTTACAGCAGGAAGTTTGCTGGTTCGAGTCTTAGCTGGGCTATTTGGCATTTCTGTGTGAAGTTTGCATGTTCTCCCCATGTTGGTGTGCTCTTCCGGGTGCTCTGGTTTTCCCCACAGTCCGAAGACATGCGCTTTAACTGAATTGGTCAGAGTGTATGAGTGTGTATGGGTGTTTCCCAGTTCTTGGTTGCAGCTGGAAGGCCATCCACTGTGTAATATGCTGGATAAGTTGGCGGTTCATTCTGCTGTGGCGACTCCTGATGAATAAAGGGACGAAAAGCATAAGGAAAATGATTAAATATTGAAGAAATATTATCTTAATATTATAAGTTGTTTTTCCAGATTAAAAATCACATTCTCATGAAAACTAAGCATGAATGATATCAAATTCTAAACATAAAATATAAACCGTTTGGATTGTAAGATACCAAGAATCATTCACTGTTTAAATGACAACAGAACTGTTTGGGTGACAACAATACATGTACAATACTGCCATTACAGCAATATGCTACTTTACCAGTATGTTAACTTCATTCCAAAACCCAGTGACGGGAAGGCAGAAACAGTTTTAAAAGCAATCAGGATATATGTTCTCATGCAAAACATGCCCTACATGAACAGTTTTCCCTTTATACACCAACATTCAATATGGAAATGTACAAAATGCCTCATCAGGAGTCCAACATGACTGTATGAGTTGTTTCCACTTAACATAATTTAAGCGTTTTAAAAATTTGCTTCAAACATGAATAAAAGTTCACAATTGTGCATTTTCTGGTTATAGACCAGTTACTTTTATTGATACAACCATGTGCATCCTTTATAAATAAGAACTGAAACTACATTTTTTTAAAGTTTGGATGAATGCAGCACTTTCAATACATATAAATAATTAGGCTATTTTGTACCACTAAAGCATTTAAGTGCATTGTTTGTATTGTAAGTGCTTGCTGTAACCTGAGGTTTACATTTTATTTCTGATTAAATGTTCCACTAGTGAGATTTACGGGTGTATTATAACAAACCAAATGGTAAACAACACGGTTCCCACATGTTCCTCTGACTCTCTTTCCTCCGTAGAGTCACATGGGCGCTTCCTCTGTCCCGTGACTTTTTTTAACAAACAGAGGCAGGAGGTGGTACAGGCTCTGAGAGGGTACGTTGCAGGTTACAACCATCATCACATCTCAATAAACCGTTATATAAGAGATGAATGTTTTGAAGAGGTCTGCTGTCTGTCGTTCACAGCCTGACACAGGAGCGCGTTTCACCATCCGTCATCATGATGATGATGTCCCGGAGGTTTGACGGTCACGAGATCTGAGGCTGCGGAAGAAACTTTCTACACGCGAGTCTTTGGACAAACGAAAGCTGCTCGGCGTGATGCTCTTATCGAACAGATAGGAGTCAGGACATCCCGGGTCCACATTATCAAAACGAGTATTTTGGTTTCCGTTGTTTTGTGCAGCTTCTTGAAAGCGGAAGTAAAACACCGCTTTTTTGGATTTGTCTTGGCGCTGTTATACGGACAGGTAGGTCGCGGTTGTTTCTCTTCACTTTAATTACTTCACCGCTATTTCTGTCTTGATAACCTCATCCACCCAACATCTGCTGGAGATCATGATGATGATGATGACGGTGGTCAGGAAATGTCAGATGCGATTAACATTGGGATGAACGTCTGGTTAATTCAAACTGCTGGGACCATGCTGGCGATGCTGCTGTTGTTATTATTGTTAGATATGGGGGTGTTTCAATAGTAAGATTGTTGTTTTTAGCTCTACTGGGTGAACGGACTCGGCGTACTTCGGATTGATTACATTGACATCTACTTCCGCTACCAGAAATATGGAAAAAATGTTTTAAAAACGCGGTACATTCAAGACGTTCAGCGAGACATTCAAGGTCTTCCAGTTTCAGGGGTTTATTAGGCACTAAAATGTATGAAAAATGTGAAAACTTTGGTTTTTATGGGCTTTAAAAAGTATTGGAGACAAGGTAAATACAATTCTCTGAATTTACAAAGAGTTTTGATTGCAACGTTGAAATTTGGTAAGTGATACTCCAGTCTACAGTGTCACATAATTCTTTAAAGATGAATGCTCTTATGATGATTTGGAGTGAACATTCCACCAAATATTCATTCCTTTACACTCAAAATATAATATATAAATACACTCAAACAACAAAAAGAAAAAATACTAAAAAATGAATATAAACATTGAAAACATGGCACATTTAATGTTATTTCATGCAAGAAAAATTCATTAAAAAAAATACTATAGCATTTTAATATTAAAGGGCTTGTTCACCTAACATGAAAATTTACACAGCATCAATAGCTTCCAAACTTGATTGAGTTTCGTTATTCTGTTGAAAACAAGTTATTTTGATAGAAGCTGGAAGACGGTAACCATTGACATCCTTAAGTAGGAAAAATGAATACTATTTAAGTCTTTGGTTACCGCTTTCCAGCTTTTTTTTTTTTTTTTTTGACAGAAGACAGAAAATCAGACAGCTTTGGAACAATTTAAGGCTGACTTGTGATGACAGAATACTGAGTTTTGGTTGAGCTATTACTGCTAACACTTGGCTACTAATTGTAAATCGAAATTTTCAAGTGGTCACTTAATTTTTATCCCAAGTTTATGTATATACTCTACAAAATTGTTTGGTGTTATGATTTATTAACTCTCAAGACATCCTAGGTAACCTTTTTTTTGTCAAAAGTAAATCAAGTCAGAGTTACTTTTAAAAATTACCTTGCTTATTCATGCTACAGTAGCAACAGGTGCCATTGTAGCAGTGTTACAATGGCTACAATGGCAACTATGTTTTTCTCCAACAGACCAAAACAATTTCAACAAAGCACACCAATCCATTATAAAAGTGGCTCACATAGCTCTGGATAAGAAAAATATCCCTGTTTAAAATTTTATTAACTGTTTTGTGATTTCTACTAACTGCTGTACTTGACTGGGATGGTGGATGACTTAGGACTATGCATAGTGCATGCACTGTCTCAATTTATCATAAACGTACGTACACCAGTTAGCAAAAGTTACACAACAAAACTGTTGATAACAATTTAAACATAGATATTTTCTTACAAAAACACACTGATTTGTTAAAGGAGATTATTAATGACCAGATTTATTTTTTTTAATTATGCTTGGATGCACTTTATTGGTCTTGTTTTTTTTATTTGTTTATTTTTTATTTTTATTTGGCCATTGAAGAGGACCACCTGTCTGTTGCCGTTGAACAGAGCTTAAAAAAAAAAGCCAGGGCATTTGGAAAAAAAAAAAAATATCTAATCGGATTTGACTAAAAGGAGAGTCAAATACACCTGGGATGCCTTAAGTGTGAGTAAATCATTAGCTTATTTTCATTTCTGTGTGAACTAACCCTTTAAAGGTGTTGCATTTAAAGTCTTACGGTTTGCTATGAAAAAGAGTTCACTACAGTGGCAAAAAATTTTTTAAGAGGTAAAAAGGTTAAGAACCTTGTTATCTTCAGGAAATACAATGTATTTTAAAGGGATAGATCACCCCGAAAATGTATACTATTACTGTTACTCTACCTCATGTGGTTTCAAACACAAATAATATATTTTGGAAATTGTTGGAAACCAGTAGTCATTCACTTCCACATTAGAAAAAACTATGTATTTTGTTTTAGTATGGTTTTAAATAACCGAGTTTGATAAACGATGACTGAATTTAGATTTTTGTGTGAATTGTTCCTCTATTGTTTTTTTTAAAGACCTTGCTCTAAACAAATTGACTATTTATGGTTTAAGAACATTGAAAAAAATCTACATGGGCTTAGCATTTTTTTTTGTGTTGCAGTGGTGCTTCATAGCATCTTAGATACCCCAAAAAACGTCTGAAGAAAAACAGAAGTTTCTTAACAGAAGCATGGTTTAACAGGTTCTTAATACAGTAATGATGCTATAATACAGTGGTCAACAAACTTGTTCCTGGAGGGCCGGTGTCCTGCAGATTTTAGCTCCAACCCTAATCAAACACACCTGAACAAGCTAATCAAGGTCTTACTAGGTATACTTGAAACATCCAGGCAGGTGTGTTGAGGCAAGTTCGAGCTAAACACTGCAGGGACACCAGCCCTCCAGGACAGAGATTGGTGACCCCTGCTATAATACTTCAACCACCCAAAAGAACACCTGAGGAACCAACTTTTATGTGTACTATCAACCATAATTCTGCTTGCCATGTTTGTTCAAGCCTTTTTTCATGATATTAGATCATAAAAGTGTCACTTTTGAGCAATTTTTAGGAAGTTTAATTTTCAAGTCATAAAAAAAATGTTGTTTGTTTTTGTACTAAACAGGAATTGGTTGAAATATTTCTTAATTTGTGGGTTCCTGTTTTTTAGATCATGGCAAATGAGCACTCGCCTCTTCTGGTTCATGGGGTTTACAGCATGATGGGAAATGCTGAAGACTCCAGGGGTGGATCAGCAGGAACAGGAGAGGCGTCAAACCCCAAAACAGACCCCCGAAAACTCAACACCTTCTTTGGCGTCATGGTGCCCACCATTCTCTCCATGTTCAGCATTGTGCTCTTTCTTCGTACAGGTAAGACAAAAAGCCGGAAGACTTTGTATTAGACTTACATAATTTTTTATATTGCATTGTGTGTTCTGAGCTTAAAGTGTTCTGATACAGTATATGTTGATGTTCTAGGTTTTGTTGTGGGACATGCTGGTCTTCTGCATGGTCTCCTCATGCTGTTTGTGGCTTACTTCATCATCTCATTGACAATCCTGTCTATATGTGCCATTTCAACTAATGGGGCTGTGGAAGGAGGTGGAGCTTATTGTATCCTTATCCAATCTCTGACTTATAGATGCAGCATATCTAACACCACTAAACTGGGCTATCAGGTCAGCATATATTGCTCACTAGTAAGTGTATTTTGTAAACTCTTCAGTAATTTTGCCACATTCCACAACCGAATTACCTACAAAAATGTTCAGGTAGTAACTGCATTTACAACAATTGTAAGCAGTGTTTAAGGAACCAAAGCTGCTGTTACAGAGCTTTCTGTACATAGACTTTACTTGGGTGGGCCGCTAGGGTATATTAACGGCCACCCAAGTACATTTGGCTACACTTTTATTATTTTTTTGTTATTATTATAATTTTAAATCTTTCCAAGATAACTAAATATCTGCGATTGATTAAGCGGTAAAAAATTGTCTCTCATTTACCCGTTTCGTAAGCCTACTGCTGGTTCTGTGTACTCCCACAGACAGTCACGTGCTCTGCAGAACCACAGAGATGCCCCTCTTTAGCACTTAAAAAAATGCATCCGGCCAGGGTTTCTAAATCTCCTAATGTCTGGTATTTGGCTTTCTCTTTCAAAAGTTGTCGTTAATTGTATGCATTTTTACATTAACTTTTTATTTAAACCTATTCATTAAATACAACATTATTTACAAACATTAAATAATTCATTGTTTCATCTAAACGTATCTAAAACTTTACTATATACTCGGGAGGGGACCAAATGACATCTAAACTGGCAAAATATTTGCAACAATGATTAATCAACTAATTTGCCTTATTTAAATAACTTACACTTGTATTTTTTAGAGATATTGTCAGGTTTTATTCCTTTTTTCTGTCATTTATTTCTCATTTGCTGTATATTTTATTGATTTGAAGATGGTAATATATTACTTAGTCTATTTTATATATCTAAAAGGCTTTGCAGTGCTGCACAAAATGTCATGCAGATAAAGCAATCTGAACTTGAGAGAGACAGAATGAAATAACAATAAAAATAAAACAAATAAAAAGTTAGAAATCTCATAATGTTTTTAGTTTGTTGCATGTAGATGACCATTTATGTGCTGTGCATAAAAGATGTCTTTCAATCTGGGAGCCACCACAAATATATTTCAAACCTGTGAGAAGCACTGTGTTAATTTATCTATTTTCCATGCATGCAGGGAAGAGAAAGTGTAAATAAATACATTTATGAATGACATTAATCCAAAAAGACAAAAGAGGAACTAAGCTATTTTAAAAAAATGCTTTTTTTGCAGCATGCAAAATTAAATCTGCTGTCATCCAACACTCTTGTGGAATGGTGGCCCATGACGTCAAAAAGGATGAGAACCACTGTGCTGTGCAAAACTGCCCTCCGATCATAAACAAAATATGACGTCTCTGTCAGTGCTGATTTAGTTTCAACTGTAGAACTCAAGTCATTTTTCACTCTAATGTTACTTTGGTCAAAAATATTCAATCAGAGACACCAGACGGTTGATATAGTTTTACGATGTCTGTCATCACACATGAAATGACAATTTAGGATTTTAGGATAATTTTAATTACTTAATTTAGGATAATTTTAGAGTTCAGTTGTCACTCATGAAACTTTACATGGCTATAGTATAGTGGTTCCAAATTAGGGGTCACCAAAGGTTTATGAAGGCTAATTTGATGGTTACTTATACAATGAAACAGATATTCTTTTTTTTCCCTTTGGCTTAGTCCCGTTATTAATCAGGGGTCGCCACAGCGGTATGAACCGCCAATTTATCTAGCATATGTTTTATGCCGCAGATACCCTTCCAACCGCAACTCCACACAGAAATGCCAACTGACCCAGCCAGTGGTTGAACCAGTGACCTCCTTGCTATGCACCCCCTACTGTCAGAAAGTGGACTTACATTTTTATTCAGGCTCTCTTTTGTTCAGACCAAAGATAAGCTATCTTTGCTATATTGCAAATATTAAATTAAATTAAATTACTTATTATTATTACTGTTTAGGAATCTGAAGTTTTGATAAATTAATATGGGCTTCTGGGACCTTTAATGTTATTTTAATGCATGTTAATGCTCTAAATAATGTTATATTAATATTAAAGGATTATATTAATATACTAATTGGATAGTTTACCCAAAAATGAAAATGTTATGACTGTTTAATCCCCTACAAGAGGTTACAAACCTTTATGAGTTTCTTTTCCTATTGAACACAACAGGAGATATTTTGAAGAATGTTAGAAACCGGTAGCCTTGACACCTATATTACAACAAAATACTATGGCAGTTAATGATTACAGCTTTTCAACAATTTTCAAAACAACTTCCATAAAGAAAGAAACTCAAACAGCTTTGTGACAATTGCAGGATAAGTAAATGTTGACAGAATTTTATTGCCTAGCGCAATAGCCTAGTGGTTTGCGTGCCGAAATATAGTAGAGCGGTAGCTCTTCAGGGCGTTACGAGTTTGAATCCGGGCTCGTCATTTCCTGACCCTACCCCCCTCGCTCCCACTTCACTTCCTGCCTCATTACTGTCCTATCTAATAAAGGCAAAAAAGGCAAAAATAAATCTTTAAAAAAAAAAATAATCCTTTAAGGCAGAGATGGCCAAAGTAGGGCCCACTGGTCAAAGCTGGCCTATTGTAACCTTTGATTTGGCCCGTCATCCCAACTGAGAATGATGGAGAGGGTTGGGGAGAATGCCTTTAACAGAAATAATTATTTCTAATTTGATGTAACCTTTTTTGTTTGTAAACTGAAATTAAATGTAAATGAGTTTTTAAAACTATAAATGAGATTGTTTTTGATTTTTCTGTAATAAGTAGGCTACATTATAAAATGTAAAAAAATATATATACTAAATTAGTTCATGTAAAGTAATGATTTTTAGTTATTTTTAAATATTATTAAATAAATTAGGAAATTACCTATGGCAACTCTATTTAACTTTGGCCCACTAGCCTATATAGAGTTTGGTTTTTGGCCCTTTATAAGAAAAAAGTTGGGCATCCCTGCTTTAAGGATTTTGATGGTTAAAATGGTGGTCTCCTGGGAAAAAAATTGGCACCATTACCATAGAGGGCTAAACTTGTAGACTTAACCATAAATGACTCCATTATCCCTGTGTGTTTAAATATTTTTAACTCTTGAGTCTCAGTCATGATCAGTCGTTCTCTGGGTCCAGAGTTTGGCGGGAGCATCGGCCTGATGTTTTACCTTGCGAAGGTGTGTGCGTGTGGTGTGTATGTTCTCGGGCTGGTGGAGGCCATAATGGACGTCTTCGGTCAGGATCCAGGTGAGCGCTGCACTGAAGCACACTGTACTAAAAGGTCATTGAATCAAATTAAGCGTCTCTGTTGTTCTCTCTCCAGGCTCTTCTGTGGCACAGGGGCTGCGTGTGTTGCCGCAGGGCTACTGGTACACCGTGTTGTACTCCTCTGTAGTGTTGTTGCTGTGTATGCTGGTGTGTCTGGTCGGTGCTCACATCTACGCCAAAGCCTCTTTTCTCATTCTGCTGGTGGTGACGGTGTCTCTGATCTCCATTATCATCAGCCCACTGATAGTCAGTCCACAGGGCTTTAACATCACGCACACGTACGGCAACAACCACAGTGTTACGGTCAGTCCAAGCTACACGGGCTTTAACAGCACCACTCTGAAGAACAACCTTGGACGTGAGTGATGTGTTTATCAATACAATAAGATCAATCTTTATTGATTCTGAACAATTTTTTTTCTCCAGAGTGCACTTTTTAAAAGAATACAATAAAGTTTAATGACGTAAAGAAAGAAAGACAGACAGAAAAAATATTGTACAATAATTACAGTTAATGAAGACTTTTGCTATTTTAAGGATGGAAAAATATGCACTGCGGTGCATGGTCTTATAGGGTTGTGCTTAAAGTATAACATTATTATTAAACGAATTAGAGTCTCATCTCTCATCTCCTTTAAGTTGTGTCGCGCCGTGGCACATTTGCTATTTACATGGCGGACTTCGTAAGAAAAAAAACTGAGCTCTTCACTAGCGAGAAAACAATTAAACACACCATCTGCAGCGAGGTTAAAGAATGAGCCTTCTCCATTCGGCCTCTTTACTTTCTCTTTACTTTACTTTTACTTTTTACTCCTTTACTTTAGTGGATAAGGAAACAGTGTTGTACTCACTCCACTGAAGACATCCATTAGCCTACATATTTAATTTTGTCTGTTAAGCGCAAAGATTTGTTTCAAATCTATTTCTAAATTCAGTTCTAATTTCCAGCAAACTAATAAATAACAATAATAATGAAGTGTGGTCAAAAAAGTTATATCCAAACACATGTCCTATTCTTATGCCCCATATAGTGACGCATACGTCTCCAAAACCAGACAGGTGGACAAATCTAAACTAGTTTTTATTAAAACAAATATTAATATACATATAATAAATAATACTAATAATAATAACAAATTGTTATGAATAAACTGAAAAAAGCCCCCTCGACATGAAGCAGGCATGAAGATAGTGTTTTTTATATTTATGTTGAAAATAATAATTAAGTTTTTTTATTATATGTAAAGATATTTGTGTATTGCTGTACACCCTGTGTCAATTTTAGACCAGATTTTAGACCAGCTTTCAGTTGGTCAATGGCGCAGTCTATTTCAGTTCTTCTAAATAGCAACGCACCAACAATGCAGTTTAACACACCTGCTTTTTAGACTGGAACACCTAGTAGCACAAATGGATTTGCTATTTAAACAATGTGGCGCATAACATAAAAAATTAGGGTAACGCTAGTCTGAAAATAGCAACAAATCTCACCTTATACATCTTGCGCCTTATTGCTCCGGGTGGATAATAGGGCCCGATAAATGTATATACTGATATTGTAAAATGAATAATGTCGTAATAATGATGGTTATTAACTGATTATATTTAGTGGTTACATTTATTTAATAATTCTTGAAAGGTAAATTAGACTGGTCGTGTTTTGGGGTTTCATCAAACATTTTGTTAAAAAATTGTAAATACTGGGTATTGAAAAACTCCTATTTAAATAATTTGAGGTCAGAAACTTTTAAAAGCTGTTAAAAGAAATTGATTATTTTATTCACAGATTTGATGAAAAGTATTTTGAAGACTTTTATGTTGTTACAAAACAAAAATGCATTTGAAATGAGTGCTGTTCATCAAAGAAAGAAAATGTGTTTTACATTTTCCTAAAATATGCCATATCTGTTTCATTTATATCAATAATATGGGCTTTAAATGGTCATTGCAGACATAATTAACAGCATGTAAACTCAACATGTTTAAATTGATAAATCACTATTTTGCTCTGTTGATAGCTTGATTTTTATAATTAAGAGATACTTATAAATAATATAATAAAATGACTGTTATTTAAATACAAAGATTATATATAAGGTACTATAATGAGACCAGCACCAAAAAAGGACATTTTCTTTAACCCATTTATGAACCTTTTATTGGTAGAACTATAAATTTCTTTTATTTTAATGTAATGAAAATATTCAGGTTGTGTAATATCCTTATGCTATCTTACATTTGGATTCCAGTCTAATAGGGCTATTAGACTGATTACATGGGGTAGGATACTTAATCATAAATCCACAATAATTTCTATTTAAAGTTTATGCATGACCAAAGCTTCCCAAAAATGACATCTTTTGTATTTTATATTTCAGTTAACCACAAGGGGGCACACAAATCTGTTACTTTCTATTATGGCTTCACTAGAATAAATCTTGTTGCAAATATCTGTTCCTCTAGCTCGCTACTCTTTGGACTACAGTACCAACACAATGATGTCTTTCGCCACTGTGTTTGCTGTGATGTTCACCAGCTGCACAGGCATCATGGCAGGAGCCAACATGTCGGGTGCAAAACCTTTACTTGTATCCTCTCTTACAATTTCATCATTATACATGTAATGGAATAGTATCATAAATATCATTATTTGTCTTTATTTTCAGGTGAGCTCAAGAATCCCAGTGAATCAATACCTAAAGGGACCATTATGGCGGTGGCGTACACCTTCACTGTCTATGTGCTTCTCTATCTCCTGCTGAGCTCTACCTGTGACAGGTATCATAAACAACACATTCATTTATTCAGTCGTTTTTTTTCTTTTTAGTCCCTTTATTAATCAGGGGTCGCCACAGAGGAATGAATTTATTTAGCTTATGTTTTGGGTATATGTCAGCATATGTTTTGGGCAGCGGATGCCATTCCAGTGGGAAACACCCATACACTATTGCTTTTACACCCTCGTACACTTTGGCCCATTAAATTTATTCAATTCACCTATACCGCATATCTTTGAACTTGTGGGGGAAACCGGAGCACCCGGAGGAAACCCATGCAAACATGGAGAGAACATGCAAACTTCACCCAAAAAGGCCAACTGACCCAGCTGGGATTCGAACCAGTGACCTTCTTTAAAAAATCACACTGATTCTTTAAAAAAAGCACGCATTATGATGCGCTGTCAAGAGCATTCCAAATCAAAGGGTGGTGATATAACCTTCTTAGGCCAGTCAGAAGCCTGCACAATGAGATCTCGGGTTTCACACTGTGACTGGTGGTTCTGAAAATATTCACCTTGGCAGAAGCTTTCAAAACGTTTGAGTTTCAGTCACCTGATGCATGTGGATGAACAGCCAAACTGCTTCCAAAAAGCTGTGGTTTTGAAAATACCTGTGTTTGTGTGGGCAAAGCCTAAAACTAAGCTGAGTAACCCACAAATATAATGTTTCTTTTACACCATGCAGAGCTGATTCTAGACTTTTGGAAAACACAAGCAAAGATCTAAGCTGGCCCCTGTTCGTATATAAATTAAAATCTTGTTCATTCAGAGTTGTCAACAGATGAGTGACTTCAAGTCTGTGTTTCAATAATAAAAGAAAATTACAAACTAGACAAGGGCCGGGATTCTGACAGTAGGATAACCTTAGATAAAAATATCACGTTACGTCGGGGTAAAAAAAAAAAAATTCTCCCAATTGAACACAATGAATTTTATTATGTTAGGAAACGTTTATAATATTTTGTTACCGTAAACATGTCAGGCTAAATAATTGACTTGTTCTATCTTCATTAGTTTCAAAAACACTGATTTCTTTACAACTTTAAAAGGCATCTTTGCATATCTTTCTGTTGTTTGGATGTAAAGTAAAGCCACTGCAGTGTTCAGGTTTATAGTATGTTTGGATGTTGGTTTATAAGGGATCTTAGTGGGATGATCGATAGCTTTTGATGCAGAGGGTCCTTTCTGCTGGAGATACTGTTGCCTTAAACTAAACAAAATATTCGTAGAAACAAATAAATCTTTTATTTACTATAGAAGGGGGGACGCGGTGGCGCAGTAGGTAGTGCTGTCGACTCACACCAAGAAGGTTGCTGGTTCGAGCCTCTGCTGGGTCAGTTGGCATTCCTTAAAAAAACTAAACAAAATATCACGTGGGTTTCCTCCTGGTGCTTTTTCCCCCACAAGTCCAAGGACATGCTGTTAAGGTGAATTGAATAAGCTTAAATTGTCTGTAGTGTATGTGTGTGAATTAGAGTGTATGGGTGTTTTCCAGACTGGAAGGGCATGCGCTGTGTAAATCATATGCTGGATAAGTTGGTGGTTCATTTCGCTGTGGCGACCCCAGATTAATAAAGGGACTAAGCCGACAAGAGAATGATTGAATGAATATACTATAGAAATGGTGTAGCAGAAAATTGTAGCAGTTTTAAAACCTTGACTTTTCCTATCCGCGGTTGAAGCCAGTTATCGTCCATGGCTATTACAAAAAATAGAAGTAAAATAAACAGTTTAGCCTATAACAAACAATAGCCCAGAAATTAAATCACATCCTCAAATCTCATTACATTGTTTTCCTTCAAAATATGCATGAAAGTTATGTTAGTTAGATTGTCTTGTCATTCTCAGTTGTTGTTTGTCCTTAGGTGTCACTTTAAGACCCAAAGCACAGATCTGTAATGACGAGCATTTGATTAACTACTTATATATACAGTGCTCTGCATATACAGCCCTCACAAATCTCTCATTTAAATTCATATTTTCTATAGGAAGCTTTACAATATTATATTTTTGCACATACATTAGATTAGTCAGTACTGAAGCTAAATCTGGAACTTATCTAACAAAATGTTTTTTGATAACAATCCAAAAGTTGGTAGCACAAATTTATGTTATAGAAAAATATTAAATACAAATTTAAAAAAAGGAAAAACATTTTTTATATTTTGCTTGAATTTATTGTAACATCTTTGAATTTCTAAAGATGTTTGGTGACTAAAATTATATTTTAATTAATGAATCCGTTTAATAATTTGTTTTGTTTAAATGCACCAAAATATATGACTTTATATTCACTGAGAAATGGATAAAAATATTTATTTTCAAAATGGGGTGTATCCATTTAGCCTGAGCACTATATATTTAAGTCATAATTAACTTCTTTATTTTTATGTTTATATTACATATTTTGTATTTGTCTGTCTAAGGGCACACCCAAAAATGTTCTCCTTGTCAAATCATGTGTACCGAAGCCGCCTGGGTAGGGTTGCTTGAGCTCTTTGCAAATTCTTAAACTGGAACGTAAAGTCCAAACTAGAGGCTTAGTAACTATTTGCTTGTAACAAAGTTTATACATACTTTGATTGCACCACAAGCTCTCCATAAGGTAATGAATTGCCACATTAACTGGCGTAATACCTAATGAGGAGCCTTCAATTCGATTTAAGCTGATGAACTGTAATATGTGGAAACAGTCTGAAATGTAGATGAACTGAACTTAGCAAAATTAAAACATGGAAGATAGAACGGAATAGAAAGAAAAGTTTATTGATAGGCATAAACAAATCACTATTTGAAAGAAAATTTAACTTCTTTCGCTCAAGTTCCCCCTAAATTGTGAGATTTTCAAGACCAAAAAAATTAAATGAAATAAAATCAAGTGGCTGTGAGCAGAGAAAGAGGAAGGAAGTGAGAACTTGTGGTTCTTCTTTATCAATCACAAGCTCTTCAATGTAATCTTATCTCGCTGTCATCTCTTTTCCACCATAAATCATGGGCAGAGGCTTCTGTCAATATCTAGTTGGAACATAGAATTTATGTCTAAGTTAGGTTCAATAGTGCAACACAAAACTATTTAAATATAGACTATTTACACTGCAATTAAGCCAAGTCTTAACTTGCAAACTTCTGGTCCAACTGGCCCCTGAGAGACAGTGTCTCGATCAGTATGATTTGGAATTGCTTCAATTGAATCTAAAATGAAATGTGGCCATTTTCATAGTGTTTTCATAATCATTAGAAGTCAAAAAAAGAAAAAAACTAAACCAACCAATTGCAAAGGACCAAGACAATATTTCATTGTTAATGTCAATGTTGCCTCCTGGTGGTTTGGGTGATTCACACTACTTGCATACTGTTTTGCTTTATTGAGCTGATCTTAGGTCGGACAGAAAATAGCAACATAAATACAATATAAATAAAACTGATACATATTGATATATTTATCAAATGCCCTAAAATATACACCATTACATTTAATCAGACAGAAGATTATTAGGAATGCATTATACTCTAAATAAGTACACTATCTGACAAAAGTGTTGTCGTCAATCGCAGTTGTAAGAGCAACAAATAATAACTTGACTTCTAGTTGATCATTTGGAAAAGTGGCAGAAGGGAGATTTGTTAGATGAATCATCTGTTGAACTGCATCCCAATCACCACAAATACAGTAGAAGACCTATTGGAACCTGCATGGACCCAAGATTCTCACAGAAATCAGTCAAGTTTGATGAGGGAAAAGCATGGTTTGGGGTTACATTCAGTATGGTGGCGTGCAAGAGATCTGCAGAGTACATGGCAACATCGTCAGCCTGAGGTATCAAGATATTTGTGCGGCCCATTACATTACAAACCACAGGAGAGGGCACACAAAGGGCCACATCAAAGTTCCTGAAAGCAAAGAAGGTCAAGGTGCTCCAGGACTGGCCAGCCCAGCCACAAGACATGAACACTACTGAGCATGTCTGGGGTAAGGTGATGGAGGAGGCATGCAAGATAAATCCAAGGATCTTTATGAACTCTGGGGGTCCTGTAAGAACGCTTTCTTTGCCGTTCCAGATGACTTTATTAATAAGTTATTTGAGTCATTGCAGAGATGTATGCATGCAGTCCTCCAAGCTCATGGGAGTCAGACACAATATTAATTCTTTTTCCACTGCACCATGACTTTATATTCTATACTGTACATTATTTCTGTTCCGTGACAAAACATTTGACTAAGCAAAGTCAGACCTTACTGTCCTAATTAAATAACTAAAAATCAAGGCATAATCATATTTTATTTTGGTTAAATAATCATTATCTAGAGGCCTTTGCCTTTTATATAAGCCACTTCTAATACCACATGATCAACTAGAAGTCAAGTTATTATTTGTTGTTCTTGAAACTTGGATAGGCAATTTTTTTTCAGGTAGTGTATATAAATAGTAAGGTCAAATATCACATATATGCACAAAAACTTGCATGCATAAGATAATGTGAAAATAGAGAGGCTTTTTTACTGACAGTGCATTTTCCTCCACCTCATCCATCCACTATTCCTCATCATTTGTGTGCTCTTTTTCTCAGGTCGTTGTTACTCAATGATTACGCAGTGTTTCAGAGAGTGAACGTGTGGCCTCCATTCGTGACCATCGGCGTTTACTGCGCTTCTCTCTCAGCTGCCATGTGCTCTATGATAGGAGCCTCTCGAATCCTCCATGCTCTTGCCCTGGACCAACTCTTTGGTTAGTGTTTTTGGTTTATGTGCATTTGTTGAGGTGATCTGTTTTAAAGGTTAGTTCGCCCAAAAATCTCAATTCTGTCATCATTTACTCACGCTGGATGTGTTTCAGACTTTGATGGCTTTCTTTCATCTGTTGAACACAAAATAAGAGATTTTGAAATGAGCTGGAAACCTGTAACCATTGACTTTCATGGCATTTTTTTTCCAACAATGGAATTCAATAGTTACCGGATTTCAGCTTTCTTTAAAATATATTCTTTTGTGTTTAACATAAGAAAGAAACTCATAAAGGTTTGGAACCACTTGAGGATGAGTAAATGGTGAGTAAATTTGTGTCATGTTTTGGGTGAGCTATATATTTTAAGCAACATAAAAGTTTGCAGAGCTTTATATTTCTGGGCCTGCTTTAGATTTCATTATGATTTATAAATGCTGTGGCATTGTTTCAACAGTCAAAACTCCATTGTCCCCCTCAAAAGTTGCATGTAGTTTTTGGCTGAGATCTTGTCATTTTAATCCAAACAACTTTTTGTGTGGCTGCCAATGTATTTCAGACTGAAACTGATACTGATGTTCATATGAGCTAGAACGGCTCACAAGAAGTGTTTTGGAAAAACATTAGTGAGCAATACTTTGAAACCGGTATTCATGGTTCCTAAGAATAACATTAGTAAGTATTTTTAAGTAACCTTTCATAGAATTTATTAATAAGTAACCTTTCTGTCACATTTTGTAGGCTGTCATTTGGTCTGAGAAGTTACATATACTGTGTGACAACGGTCATAAAAAGAGGATTTTTCACAAAAGACAATCATATCACATTTATTTCCTCTAATCATTTTCTACTGAACTTACTTCATTCACAAAATCAAAACAAAACAAGCAATTTTTAAAAAGATTTGCTGCCCCTCTTTAAGTGTGAACAAATTATTCTCAGCAAACCTGTAGGCTTGTTCAAAATATAACTACACAGCAATCCAAAAAATATTTCATGTATAAATGTACTACTGCAGTTTGCCATTTCCAAATTGTTTGTATTGTATAAAAGGAAACCAACTGAAACCAAGGAAAGGATCAGTTTGTCAATTGTTTTTGTCTTTTTAAGGTTGTTATTTTCAATACTACACAGCACTTCACCAGGTGAACTTGTATCATGAGATATGGTCTGTGTTTCTCACCTAAAGGCACAATTGGATTATTAATATAAAATGATGAATGAATAAATACCCCCGGATATATATTATGCAGTGAAATTTGTGTTAAAGGATTACTTTTCTAAAAATAGGCTTATTTTAAAACTTCACTAGAGTTAAACTGGAGAGTTTTGCCATTTTTAGTTCATTCAGTCTTTCTCCTGCTCTAGCGGGAGCACATTTAGCTTATTTTAATACATAAATCATAAATCATTGAGTCCAATAAGACCATTAGCATCTCACTCATAAAATGACCAAAGAGTTTTGATTGTTTTTCCATTTAAAGCTTGGCTCTTCTGTAGTTTCATTGTGTACTAAGACTGAAGGAAAATTAAAAGTTACAAAATTCTTAATTGATATGACTAGGAACTATACTCTTATACTGAATCAAGGAACATAATAATCACAACAGACCCGGAGATTGGCTGAATGGATTGAAAAATTGTAAAAAGTAATAATAACTCCACAGAACACCATTTCCTGTGCATAATTTGTGATCTATAATAAAACTTGATGACAGAACGTGTGCAGCTGTAATTAAACTCTTTTTTTTCCATTAAAGGATAATAAGGGGTTTATACAATACAACAATAAACATTACAGTTTCCTTCTTTCTTTTTTTTTGTCGTCCCACCCCAAGACCTGAACATCTCAAGGCAGCTTAATATAATAATTAGGGTCAAATACAATAATTAATAGGTCTGTAATCATGCATGTCCTGACATAACAGTGATGGATGAAATAAATAAATTTATTTTAAAAAACAATTACAAAAAATAAAATGAGTAAGAAAATAAGGAAGAAAATAAATAAATAAATAAAAGATTGCAGGAAAAATTACGCACAAAAAACACCATGATACAGATACAGATATACAGATTATTTAAGAGCAGGGAATATCTACATTATTTAGGAAATTTCCTATATCCATTAGCTCTGAAGGAGATTCAGAAGTATATAATGAAGAGTAACTTTTTTATTTTTTTTTAATTTTTTATACATATTATTGATTTTTGGGGTGGGTTATTAAGTAATGGTTGATTAGAGTTACTGGTCTGAGAAATAATAAGTGAGGCGTTTCAGCTGAGGAGCCAAGAGTCGACTTGATTTGTTACCATATTCATAGTAGAGACCCTGTGTTTTCATTATTAATTGTGTAAGCTCTTAATAAACACAATTAACTTGAACTTAACTTAGTTGAACCACTTTGAATCATCATATGAGCCATAACCATTAATGAGTATTTTGTCCTACGTTCACTTTTAGGAAGGTTTTTATGCAAAGAATTTTATTAACAAAACCCCTACTCTGCGGTTTTCAGGTCTTCCTTTGGCTCCAGCTGCTGTCACCTCCAGTTCGGGGAACCCATGGGTCTCTGTGCTCTACACCTGGGCTCTGGTGCAGGTACTTCTCTATGCAGCTCTTACTGTTACTCATGATACTAAATAGGAAACGTATGTTCAGATGTTTTTGTGTGTGTTGTAGTGTACGCTGTTTGCAGGGCAGCTGAATGTGATTGCTGGTATTGTGACAGTGTTTTATCTGTTGGCGTATGCTGCGGTTGATTTGGCCTGTCTTGCTCTGGAATGGGCATCTGCTCCAAACTTCAGGTATGCATACGTGTTCTAAGAAACCACTTTTTAAAATGTAGTAATCAAGGAAAGTTGGGTTGCACTGCACATATTAAAGAATGATGCCTTCTACAGAGAGCAGCACAGAATTAATTTCAAAAAGGAATATCTTGTATCATTTTATAAATGTTTATTTTTTCTTATTACAATTTATTGGTTTGATGCATTGATTTATCTGATTACCAGCAGATTGAGTATTTAATTCTGTTAGGGATGATAATCAATGAAAAAGAATGTATCCAATTAATTACAAGATTTTTCAATTAATGTAATTAATCACTAATTAATAGCACAGTATTTTGGTGCAAAAAATTAATTCAGAATACAGTACAGGAAATTTTTTGTATCTTCCATAGTTTTGAGATGCACAACACTAGTTCAAATCCCTGATTCATTCAGAAAAGGAAACATCACTACGTGCTGATTGTAAAAATGCACAACAGTTCTGTTGTAACCTTATAAATAATATCATCTTTAGCAAAACTGAGCAAAAACAGACAATATTGTGTCAAAAATAGTACAGAATACAAAATTATTTACTGTTATATAAACTCTGCATCACAATGTGCCTGTCTGAACAAAAACAAGCTCTCATGGGATATTTAAGTCACTGCTCAACTATGTCATGAGATTAGATTGCTTAACTGCTTACAAATATGAGACAAAAGCTCATACAGTTGACATCATAGTTATGTGGTAGATGTGACGTTAGTATGATGGAGGAAAGGGACATAATTTTTGAACACTTTATATACTCATTCATTCATTCGGCTTAGTCCCATTCCTTTTGACTGTCTTAGGGGTTGCCACAGCGGAATGAACCGCCAACCTATCCAGCATATGTTTTACGCAGCAGATTCCTTGCAGTCACAACTCAGTACTGGGAAACAGCCATACACGCTAACATTCACACACACACACACACACACACCCACACTACGACCAGATCATGTCTTTGGCCATGTGGGGGAAACCAGAGCACCCGGAGGAAACCCACGCCAACATGAGGAGAACATGCAAACTCCACACAGGAATGGCAACTGTTTCAGCCGAGACTCAAACGAACGACCTTCTTGCTTGGAGTGCTAACCGCTGAGCCACCATGACACCCTACTTCATATATTTTGTTAGAGAAGTAATCTTTTTGGTACTGATTTTGTTTGGCATAATTGGCATTCTAATTAAATGTATTAAATATACTAGATGGTATGCTTTTGTTTAGTTCACATATTAGTAATATTTCACGATCTGCCTTTTTTCACTTGCGTAACATTGCAAGACTTTGCCCTTCACTATCCCAACAAAGTACTGAAGTGCTTGTACATTCTCTGGTTACATCGAGGATTGATTATTGCAATTCCCTCTGGTATCCCTCTTAACCAACCTCACAGATTACAGCTAATCCAGAACTCAGCAGCTAGTCTAGTTACCCGCTCGCATGCTTCTGAACGCATATCCCCAATTCTCTTGTACCTGCATTGGCTTCCTGTTCTTTATTGTGTACAATATAAAATTCTTCTATTAACTTACAAAGCTTTTCACAACCTGGCACCCGATTACCTCTCCGATCATCTTCACTGGTACACTCCTCGACGCTCACTGAGATCTTCTGCGGTTGAATTGTTGACAGTTCCAAATTTTAAGATGAATCATTTGGTGGCAGGGCTTTTAGCTGCACAGCACCACAGACTCTATCTCCCATTTTAAATCCCAGGTTAAAACCTTTCTGTTCAGGATTGCTTTTAATGACTTTCTGGTTTAATATTATGTTTATTCTTCTTCTGTCTTGTTTTTCATAATGTACCTGTGATGTATTGTAAGGTGTCCTTGAGTGCTTTGAAAGGCGCCTATAAATAAAAGGTGTTATTTTTATTATTATTATTATTATTATTATTATTATTATTATTATTATTATTATTATGAATATTATTATTATTTTTATTTATTTATTTTTTTTTGGTCAGTTTTCTACAAAATAAACAAGAACATTTTTTTTTTGTTTTGTTTGTTTTATCAGGGCTTTTACCTTTTAATTAGTAGGACAGTAGAGAGAATTGACAGAAAAGTGTGGGTAGCAGAGAGGGGAAGGATTGGCATAGGGAAACAAACTCTGGTCGCTGTAAGCACCGGAGTGCATGTGTTGATGCACTTTCCAGTACGCCATGGGCACCAACAATAAGCATGATTTTGATCGAACACGTTTTAAATGAAGATTTGAGGTAAAATGAAGTGCGTTCAAGATGAAGCCCACTATGTGCTTCCATCTTCTATCTGTAAAATATATCCACATTTTTAATTATTTACTTTTCTGTAAAACCAAAAATAAAAGAGTAGCCTATTTTAACCAGTTTTCACAGGAAAATCATTAAATACCCTGGTATGGTTAAGTGAAATTTTTTTTTATACAAGACTTCTGACCAAAAATTAGCCAGCACAGACTTTCCAAACTTGCTATTCTCGCCATGGCTCATATGGATATTTCAGGAATTGTGACCAGAAAAGTGCTTGAAAAAGGGGTGCTGTGGACATTTTTGATGCTTATTGAATTTTTTCACAAGCTTTTTAAATGCCAATTTCACAAATGCTGTCACAGATTTGGTGAAAAACAAAATAACATATTTTCAAAATAAAAAGTAGGCGTGGACTGGATTTTCTTTACCTTTTATAACAGTCTTGGACTTTTTTAAATTTTTTTAAAATTTTTTAACTTTTTCTTTTTCAACATTGGCTATGATGCATTGTTAGATTTAAATTTATTTCTCCCTAATTTACTGTTGGTGGCTGTTTTTGCTCCATCGACTTCTATTATAACCACATTTCATGGTGCATAAATACACAGTCTTTGTTTTTATTTACTCCATGTAGTTCTGAGAGCTAAGATGCATATTTTGATTTTCTCAGACATATCAAGGTGAGTAGAGGTCACTCTTACACTCTCACAGACACGCATACACCCACTTTAATTTGCTGTTATGCTCCATATAAAATCCAGAATCTAAGCCTTTTTTTTCTAAAGGGTTAATGATGCCAACTGATGATCAACATTAAAAATGACAAATTTTACCTCTTTCCAACAGGGAAAACCACCAACAATCAAAAAATGCATGATTATATGGTGTAATGTTTTTGTAATATACTGAAAGACAGTGGGACAAAAACAGCCACCAACAGTAAATTAGGAAGAAAAAAAAAAAAATGATGCATCAAAGGCAATCATGCTACACATGTCCAAGATTGTAATAAAAATATTTTAAAAAGCCATTCCACAATTTCTTTTATATTGAAAATACGTCATTTTGTGTGTTTTTTTTCACTAAATCAGTGACATCATTTATGAACTTGGAAATTAAAGAGTTAAAATCCTGTAATTTTCTAAACGATTTAGTAGTTTTGATCAGACCTGAGGTTGATTAACAGATTTATGCAAAAAAATAAAAATAAATATATATATTCTGGCGTAATTTTACAGCAGTTTAATTCAGTGGATGTTTTCATCCCTAACATTACAAAAATGTAGTAAATTTGCCAAGAGTGTATCGTTGAGTTAGAAAAAAAAAAAAAATCAAAGCATTTTTCTCAAAATATTTGTCAAAATAAGAGTTGTCACTGAAAATCATTCCTCTAGCTGAAACACAGAAAAAGTTATGGCCAAATTAAGACTCAATCACCCCAGAGTGGATGAAAACATCCTGAACAGCACAAAAGGGATATTATACTTTTCTGTGTTTCTTTCCTCCCAGGCCGACGTTCCAGTTTTTCTCCTGGCACACGTGTCTGTTGGGTATCATCAGCTGTGTGGTGATGATGTTCGTGATTAACCCTGTGTATTCCTCAGCCAGTATTGTGCTGCTGCTGCTCCTGCTGCTCTTCCTGCATTACCGATCTCCCACCAGCAGCTGGGGCTACATCAGCCAAGCCCTCATCTTCCATCAGGTACACACACACACACACACACAGACACACACAGCGAGCGAGAGAGAGAGAGAGAGAGAGATGGGAAGTAACAAAGTACAAATACTGTAGATTTTTCACTGGTATCAGTACTTTACTTCACTATTTATTCTTCTAACAATGTTTTACTGTTACTCGTGACATTTTTACACAAATATCTCTACTTTCTACTCCTTAATTTTTTTGAATTAAGCTTGCTATTTTAGTTTTAATGTTTTTGGTGGTACAGTCTATATTATTTCTTGTCATTGGGCAATTTGAATGTGTTTTTGATTCATTGAATATATTTTTGGTAATTTCATGTCTGCAAGCTTTTTCAGCCTAGGTTAATCACACATGGTATGTAGACTAGTTTGTAAAGTTTACCATCAGAGAGGCAGGTACAGTATGGCTAACGTGTATGAGACAGGATGAGTCCGTGACGTAAGCATGACCGAAGCCTTATTTACACTCCGTAAACATTCCTGTTCATTTCTGGGCTTAGTTTTTATAAGTAATCCAGTGGGATTTTTAGATCACGGTTTGGATCAAATCTTGGAAATAGGTTTTTCAAAAGTAACAGGGATTTTGAATTCAGATCAGACCATGTAATCCAATCTTACATTTGATTAGGATCAAACCTGCTCAGTGATTTATTCAAAACTTTGAACTCGGATTAGGATCTATTTGATCCAAAAAAAAAAAAAAAAAAAGAGAAACAGGATTATCCTGATCCCATCAGAAGGGTGGATTCAGTTGTGATTTTTTTTTTTAACCAAATAAAATAAAAAAAGTAATATTTTTTTAAGTGAATGAGCACAAAACTAATTGTTACTGACGATATGTAAATTCCTTCATGTTTGATGCCTACACGAAGCATGTCACATCTAATGAGATTTGGTAAACAACAGCAAAACAATATCAAAGCAGTATTTTGTTAGAACAAACTAAAAAAGTGTACAATGTTTTGTTGATTTGCAGAGTTTCTGTTTCTTACCATTAAAACAAACAATGGCTGATTGTGGCCACTGGTATTTTGCCTACCTGTTGTTCTTCGCTAAGCCAGTAGTCTACACTGTTGGTTCCATTTAAGGCTCTGGTAAACAGGATTTGGTAATCCTGAAATTTGGTATTTGGATCACAATGATCAAACCCAATGTTCCTTTAAAAACTGTCAAGAAAGTAAGATAGATCAGTTAATCCTGGATAGTGAACATGGGATTCCCAAATCTGGACCAATTTGATTCAAATGAAATCCTTTGAAAAACTGGGGCCTGGTGTTTAAATCAGCAGCAATTCTAGTTTAAACGGCATTGTGGGTGAACCTCCTCATATACACCCACTCCCCCATTCCTCGAGAAATAAAGGAGAAAATACTTCTTGGACTTTTTATTATTCCCATTGGAACAAATGTAATTGTCTCAAACAATTCAGACAGCAAACAAACTGAAATTGTACTAATATTTAATTACCTCTGGACCTTACTTGCCATTTTTGCATCAATTATATCATCATATAATGCTGGGGGATTGGCTCTTTTGTCAACTTATATACAGTATATACTGTTCAGCCTGTACAGTCTCTGATCTTTTAAACCAATACCACAAAATAAGGTTGTGTATCTTTCATACTGTACAAAAATCTTTAATAATAGTTCATTCATTGCAAATTTTAGATTTCTGAATTAGAAATGTAATTTCTGTTTTATAAATGTATCAATGTGATCTGAGGTCTAACTACTAACCCTAAACTAAAACAGACAGTACTGATACTTGTGAAATACATGTTTGAAGCCATACTTTACTTTTACTTGAGTAAAAATGAGTACTTCACTTCATACAAGAATCATTTTAAACTCGAGTGTCTGTATTTCTACTCTAGTAAAGGATGTATGCCATCTCTTCTCTCTCTCACACATACACAACACATATGAATGTACTAAACTTCAAATTGATGAGATGGTCTTTCTGTGCTTCTTTAGGTGAGGAAGTACCTTCTGATGTTGGACTCTCGGAAGGATCATGTGAAGTTCTGGCGGCCGCAGGTGTTACTGATGGTGTCCAACCCACGCTCCTCCTGTCAGCTCATCTGCTTTGTCAACCAGCTGAAGAAAGGGGGCCTGTTTGTCCTTGGACACGTGCAGATTGGAGATCTGGGTAGGTTCAGACAAGGGTCAGGGGACAAATGTGTAATAGTTGGAGGAAGTTGCACAAAATTCATTGACCAAGATTTTGATCCTTAGCCAATTGCTGTTTTTGACCTACAGCTGAATACCAGATGTTTTAACCCCTTCCTCTTAAAGCCCAATGTACACTTCCTCACATGCATGCACACACACACACACAAACATGCATACATAAATGCACAGCTATTCTTATTATCCTAAGGGGTCCTCAAGGGAGTCAAATCTGGACTGGCCAGAACAGGCAGCTAGTATGGACCCTTTTCACATTTCCGAGGTCCCAGTAGTGTAAGTCATCACCGCTGGGTAAATTTAGAGCGCAGTGAATAGAAGAGTACAACAAATATTTTTTTTACAATCCTATTTGCTGAAATAATAAACTAAAAACCCCACAATGGTGTTGTCAAGACTTTCAGAAAAAGGGAAAAAAAGTTTGAGATTAATAACGACAGACAGAAGAGAGAACGTCAAATTTACTGTCCTGTCCATAGACACTGCATAACAAATGCCTCGCTTAAGCAGTAATTAGTTTTTTATAATTTGATACTAAGATGATATAATACATACATTTTATGAAAAAATCTAAATATTAAAAACTGTCCATTGTGTTTAACAGTGCACATGCGTTTATTTTTATTTGAGGCCAGACAACAATTTAAGTAGCAAATTTTTGAAGACAATGCAGTAAAAAGTGATATGCTTCTTTGGAATTAAATTATTTACATTATTCTGTTTACTCAGACACTGCTTTAAATAGTAAAACTAGAGAAATGAATGATTCCTCAGTGACTTTTACATAATTTCTGAGCTGTATACTTTGAGTATAATTCCTTAAAAGCACAATATGTATGATTTTAGCATGGCATCAAACACCATCAGTTTCCAGTTTGGTTTTATAGAAACAGGGAAACACCAGAAATTATTTAAAGAGCCCCTATTATAAAAAGGTCATGTTTTGGGGGTCTCCAACAACTTTTTACCTAATTATCCTAGGGCTCCCATATGATTTGTTCAGCGATTCATTTGTTCTCGAACCCTTCCTTTGAGTGAGGCTAATCTGCACTGATTGGTCCGATGACCCAATTTGTTGCGATTGGTCGACTGCGTTTAGCGCAAGAAGGAGAAATACGCCCAATAATTAATCAGAACACAGACTATATAGCTGCGTCCCAAATCGCATACTTATGCACTATTCTACGCCATTTTGTAGTATAAATAGTGTAAGTAGTGTGTTCACACTGAAAACTCTAAAAATAATTAGTGCACTTTAATTACCCGGATGATGCACTCATTCAGCCGCTAAAATGAAGTGTGTAATGATGGACACTTAACGACCACAGGTTTGCTTGCGTAGCAGAAGGGGCGGAGCTTTCGGACGCACATGTTGAATAACTTTATTTATTTTGGATGGTGAAAGCAAAATTCTGCTACGAGAGTGATTATAGCGCCTCCCGATGGTGAATGCGGCAATACTCACGGCAGGTATTATTTGATAATTCAGTTGTTTACTTCACTGATTTGGCAACCGTCAAATGTCATCAGGGAAACGGTTTGAATTTCTGCTTAGTAAAAAAACATTCTTGTGCCATTTGGGACACCACTACATACATATACTATCCTGTTGAGTGTGTAAGTGCATAAGTACATAGTGCATGAGTACATAGTGTATAGTGTGCCATTTGGGACGCAGCTTCTATAGCCTGGTTTATACTTCTGCGTCAAGTGACCGGCGTAACCCACGGCGCATGCAACGCGCGTAGCTGTGTATTTATACTTCTGCGCGCTGTCTCTGTCTCCATTTACACTAATACGTCTTAGTTTTAAAATGGCATTTTAGAACGGAAATGATCCACATCCACACTGTGTTTTACCTAGCATTTCTGAACAGCCCTCTGTCCGATGAAAACGCACATCATGTGACCAGACACAGCCACACACACACACTGTCATGCACTCATCTGAGGAGCTTCAGAGAGCAGTGCACGTCGGACAGTTTATCAAGAATGTACCGCTGGATTGTGTCCCGCTATAGTTGTTAAATGTGATATTTGCTTCATCTTGTCTCCATCTAACGACTCTTCAGACTTTTGAATCTATAAGGTAGCGTGTCACAGCATCAGTACACTGCTACTGTCTTTCACTTTCACACTACTTAGTAATTTTAGTGAAAACCTCAGATACTGTTGGTTGTGCATATTTTTTACCGACCAACCTCCTGCGGAAAAAGTGATTAACAGGTGGTAATTTGTGTGCAACTTATCTTTATTTATTTTTGATTTGTTTATGGGTAAAACAAAGACCATGCGGGTCAGGTAATTAAAGCGGTAGGCTACACAAATAATTAATTCACTTCCACCTATGACGGCGATGCCATCGTCCATCGCAATGTTTTACATTAGACATCGTACGATGCCAAATTGGTCGACATCACCCAACCCTACTGACAAAGTCAAAAATCTTCTTATTATGATCAATCTCATGATCCCTCGCACTCCGCTAGTCTCCGAAGCGAAAGGCTCGTTTACGTTTAACCAGATCCAGCACTTCATATTTGGTATTGTTTTGTGTTGACATCGATTTGAACAGGCAAAATATCCGGACGAACGATGAATCATTGAAATGAAGTCGAAGTCGAATCTTTTAGTAAAAAATCAATATATTTAAACAAGGTGCACTTTTCAGATTTAACCCTCAGCTGGATGTTTTCAATCACTTAGAGCTGTGTTACACACTGTATTGAAGGTCATCTTCATACACCCATAATAAGGGCTCTTTATATGTTGTGGGTTTTATCAGACAGCACATTGTAGTGTTATAACAGAACCCTAAAATGTATTTTGTATGAAAAAGCAGTGCTGCTTTTACACCACATGATCATGACCGAAAAAAATAAAAATGAGTGACTGTGGCATAAGAAAAGCTTATTTGCTTTTGTGCTGCATCACACCTGTCTCTCATCAGCAATTGCTACAGTTGTCTTGTTTCAGTCTTACTCTGCTTCATAATACCATGATGATAAACATTGAATATTTTAGTTCATCCATGGATTTCTACTGGAGTCCCATAGGATGTAACGAAGACAAAAACCCTTATGATTCCACACTGTGAAGGCTTCAGGAATCTACATCTTTGTTTGTTGTGAATATGGTCTGTCTATTAGAAAAAAAAAAAACATACTGTGTGTGCTTTTTATTGGCCCAATGAAAGTGGACTACTTATATCCATAAACTGTTGACTAAACAGATTCGTAAGTGCATGCCGACAGGGTCATTGTTCTTGGTAAATAAGCAGAGCATTGTTGTGATTAAAAACAAAGATTTCATGCTCTTCAGGGAAGACACTGACTTTACAGCTTTGTCTGTAGACATCTAGTCCGAGATGGAAGAAAGTCCACTAGAAGACCTGCCAATGAATTAGTTTTGCAGACCTTTTGGCAGCTAATGTTTTGTTTTTGTGTTATTCCACAGTAAACTATTCATTTAAATCAGATTAGCTGTTAACTCAGGCTCATTCACCCTTATAGAGGACTTGCTCTTTCATTAAAATTCATGATACAGACCTGTATGACCAGTTTTCCTCTCTGAAACCTAAAAGAAGATATTTAGAAGAATTTTCTCAGCTGTCTCTTTGAGATCTGACAGAAAACCTTCATGCTCTTTAAAGTCTGTTTGCATTGCCATTTTTGAATGACTGTACAGCGAAGCGCATCAGAAATGCAGCATGTTGTCAATGGAAATGCCATGTTTTTTAAATGCTGGCAGTGTAGCCGGGCACTGACTTGTTTTATGGTCGGAGTTTTTTTTATTCATACCTGTAGAAATACCTGGAAATGGAAACAAGCAAACAAATAAGCATATATTCTCTCTGGACTCTGTCTCCCAGATGTGCTGCCAGCAGACCCGGTGCAGCCGCAGTATAATTTCTGGTTGAGTCTGGTGGATAAGCTGGGTGTGAAGGCCTTTGTGGATCTGACTCTTTCTCCCTCGGTCAGGCAGGGCACTCAACATCTGCTCCGCATCACTGGACTTGGTGAGACGTTCCTTATCACATTATCTTTACAGCGTGGAGCCAGAAAGCTGCTTTCAGATTAGATTTATCTGCATTGTTATTGTACAAAGTGCAAATGCATAGCAAGTGAATTAGTACAGTAAGTACAGTAATGTTATCTTTTCCACAGCTAGTTCAGAAACTGCAGCTGCTTCACAATATTAAACATCACTCATGTTGTTTTGACCCTTCCGACTCATCTTACATGAATACTATTTTTTGTATGTGTGCATAATTGAGAAGACACCAAAGAAATGTTTAATGTGAACTGATTTACATGGAAAACACAGAAATTTCATAATTTAAAAAAGAAAATGAATAAAGAGAACTTTGTAAGATAATTTTTAAGGTATTTGTGAAAAGACATCCTTCAATTGAGTTGGCAAAGTTTATTCATTTTCTTTTCGATTTTGTCCCTTTATTAATCAAGGGTAGTCACAGCGGAATGAACCAACAACTTATCCATCCATATGATTTACGCAGCGGATGACCTTCCAGCCGCAACCCAACACTGGGAAACACCCATATACACTCCTTCACACTTATAGACTAAGGCCAACTTTGCTTATTTAATTCCCCTATAGCACATGTTTTTAGGCTGTGGGTGAAACTGGAGCAATCGGAGGAAACCCATGTAAAAATGGGGAGAACATTCAAACTCCACACAGAAATGCCAACTGGCCAAGCCGGGGCTCGAACCAGCGACCTTCTTGCTGTGAGGCAATCGTGCTACCCACTGCCCCACCATGTCGCCCTTCACTCTAAGTTATTTTATAAAAGAAAATAAAATAAAAAAATAAAATGTGTGTATATATATGTATGTATATGTATGTATATATATGTATATATATATATATATATATATATATATATATATATATATATATATATATATATATATGTGTGTGTGTGTGTGTGTATATATGAGCAATGTATATATATATGACTGAGCAACAAATGTGCTGAGTTTTAAGTAAATCAACATACAGTAAAACCCCTGTAGTCACGATTTACATAAATATTTTTCTGATAATCTGCTTCTGTTTACTAATTCAAAAGCAGAAAATCACTGATTTGTGAATAAATGACTCTTGTATGGAGGTTCTTTAATCTAAAATATCAATAAAAAAAACTGCTTGATCTGTGTCATCAGATTAACAAATAAATGACTTTCATGAGCTGGCTCTTGTTAAGGATTCAAACGCATTAAACAGCAGTGTAGCCTAATTCACAAACTAGTGACTTAATATACAGATTAAATGACTAGTATTATAGTAGCATGTAATGTAGGTTAATTTGATCAACTAAAATTGGCCGTAGTGTGAGTGTGTGTTTCCCAGCACTGGGGGTATGGGGCATGGTCCTACAGGGTTGAGCTTATTCTGTTAATGAGTTATAGGTGTGATTTGAGAATAAACCAATCAGAGTAACATCTCTCATTCTCTTTAAGAGTTAGTTGCGTCGCACCATTGCACATTTGCTATTTAAATAGTGGACTTTGTAAGTGGAAAAACTGAATGCTTCACTGGAGAGAAAACAGTTAAACAGAGCATCTACAGGCGAGAATGAGAGATGAGCCTCCTCATTCTTTACTTTCACTTTCACTCTCTTCCATGGATAAGGAAATCTGTTGTATGCACAGACATCCATTAGCCTATAAATAATTAATTTCGTTTAAGCGCAAACATTTGTTTCTAAATTCAGTTCTAATTTCCAGCAAACTAATAAATAAACAATATTAACGAAGTGTCTTCAAAAAACTGAGTTATGTCCCAGTACACATGCTGTGCCCCATATGGTCTTAAACCTGACAGGTTGGCAAATCTAAGCTTGTTTTTAATATAACAAATATAAATATGCATATAATAAATAATACTGCTAATAATAGTAACATTATACAAAAGCAAATTGTCACGAATAAACTGAAAAAGCCCTCCGAGATGACGAAGGCATGAAGGCAGTGGTTTTTATATTTATGTAGAAAATAATCATTTTTGTAATAGTTTAATCCTTTAATTATTTTTTATTTGTAAAGATATTTTGATTGCTGTAATCCTTTGTTTATTAAGCAATGTGTAAGCGAGGCGCACAACTAACACGATCTGCACTGAACATGTAGATACATATAGATTTTATATTGCAGCCTCTTGCGATTTTTAACTAATTGCAACGAGATTTGATTTCGATTAATCAAACATCTCTACTGCATTTGAATTCATATTTACTACTCTGCTATTAGAAAAGTGTGTTCTATACATTATGAATGTCAGTAGTAAAAGTCAAATTCGGCCGTACTATACATGTCATTTTTTCATCATCACATCAGTTGCGTTGCTTCACTTTCATTCATGAATTTTCTTGCGGTGCATCATGGGATAGTGTAGCGTCCATCTGATGCGCACTTCAGAATCTCGCCGGAAGTAGTAGGTCATCCAGGTACTTCTCACAAACTGTTTTTCGCATTCTTTGAATTCAGACATATTACTCTGCTCGCATACTGTTTTTAGCGTACTATATAGTATGTAAGTTTGCGATTTCAGACGCAGCCAGTGTGTTATGTGTTACTTATAAAAGCCTAATTAGCTGATCCAGGTGTGTCTAATTGGGGTTGAAGCTAAACTTTGCAGGACACTGGTCCTCCAGGAGTTTTGGCATCCCTGACAGAGAAATGAGTAATATTCTAATGATTTCAGTCTGATTTGAAATAAAATCTAAATCAAAATGAAGTCTTGAAAAATCAAATCATGAAATTTCTAATTCTGACCATCTGTTCTCTTTTCCAGGAGGAATGAAGCCTAATACCCTGGTGTTGGGCTTTTATGACAACTCCTATCCAGAGGACTACTTCCTCCAGGACCCTGTCTTTTGCAAGGGCGACAGATCTGAAGGGGATAATTTCGGTGTGGACCTCCCATCCCTCCAGGCTCATTTTCCACCGGTGCGCCATGCCGAGAGCCCTCGCGCACTGCAGCCTCAGGAGTACGTCAGCATCATTCAGGATGCCATCAAAATGGGCAAGAACATTTGCTTGGCGCGCTACTTCTTCCAGCTGCCGCCCGAGAGCAAAGGTGCAACGTACATGTGGGGAAAAGACAGCATGGACACCATCGACGTGTGGCCGACAAACCTCTTGACTCCAGGTAGTGCCAGTTACGCTGACGTGGGCAGTCTGTTCCTGCTTCAGATGGCGTGTGTGTTGAACATGGCCAGCGGGTGGCGCCGTGCGAGATTGCGTATATTCGTGTGTGTGGAGTCTGAATCGGAAGATCAGGGCTGGCTGGCCAAAGAGGAGCAGTTTAGAGAGTTGCTGGGAAAGCTGAGGATTCGTGCTGCTATTAAGATCGTGGCGTGGGATAATGTCGCACGCATGGTTAGAGGGCCAAACACAGAGAGCCAACCGGTGTCAGAAGACTTCCTCTGTGCTGTGAATGGCCTTCTGAAGGAGCACAGCTCGACTGCCGCCGTGCGCTTTCTGTATTTGCCCGATCCCCCATCTAGTTGTGAGCTGTCCCAACAGTACCTCACCCAGCTAGACACACTGACCCGGGATCTGGGCCCGACGCTCTTGATTCATGGGGTTACCCCAGTCACGTGCACTGAGCTCTGAGAAACCAAAATGTGTTTGTGTGATAGAGAGGAACATCATGTTAGTGAGCAGAAGTGTGTTTGAGTCCTCACGCTCTTAAACACCACATCATGTATGGGTGGATGACTCCTTCAATGTGTTTTGGGATTTCTAGGTAAACGCTGCCTGATCTTGTGCGCCGCTATGTTGGTGTTGTTCTCTACGCATCATCGTTTGTCGTCTGAAAGAGCGGGTTTAGTGTTCTTGGAAAAGGAAGTGACTGCATTAAATTGGAGTTGCTGTTAATGTTCATTCATGTGTCACGCTGTAAAGCTTTAAATAGGATCTTGTGATGGGTTTGTTTTGTATGGGTGAAATGCAGTTTGTTGACTGTGTAGGGTGGAAAGAGTATCCTTGAATGAGATGTCCATGGTTATATTTGGCACCGTAATATGGGGCGAAGTGACTCACTTTTTGTTATTGTGCTTCGTTAATCATTTCTGCTTTTTTCTTGGCATAAACCAGACTTTGAACTCATTTTGTCCCAATTATAGTTTGTGAAGCTGTGAGGAGCCCTCACGGGTTTGGGTCATTGTTCGTTTCTTGGCGAAAAATCCGCTGTCCACTTTCTGATTGGAGTATGGATGTATTTACGGTCACTCGAGTAGTTCTATATAGACATGTTATTTATAATTGTGACATTTTGTGAATGTGTTTTCGTTTGTGTTTCAGATTGTGGGCCATTTGCTGCTTACGCGTCCTATTCGTTTGTATGTTTGTTGTCAATTTTACAGTTCAAGTGTATTTATAATTGTGTTAACCAACTAGAGGCGGAGCTCATCAGTGTCATCTGAATGGTCAAGACTGATGATGATGTTTGTGTTAAGTCTTTGGGAACTGAAAAGGGACACTTTTCTTAAATAATACTTGAATATTTTGCACCTCTGTGCGTGTGTTCTGTCGTTAGCATTAACAATGCTGATATCCAAGAACGATAGTTGGACCTTTATGATGGCTGTACAATAATAGAAGTACTATGCTAAATTAGCAATGTGTGAAATTCTGTACATTTATCATCATAGAAAAAGAGGTTTGTTCAACATCGCTTTGAGGATGCACAAATTGCGTTACACAATCCAGATTTCATGTATTCCAAAGAAGATTAGAAATCATTTAGGCGCATAATAACCATTAATGTACTTTTTAAAGTATGTGCGCACATGTACATGTTACTGTTAAATACAGAAAAGGATGGTACACAGGCATGATCTCAGAACTGGTGTTTCCTGAATGAAGAGTCTGTAAACGGAAGCCTAAGATTAAACAAAATATGTCAGTCATCTTTTTCCGTAATTCACTTTTTTTATTGCTGAAATTCTGATTTTGTTCAGTCTAAAGTGTGTTCAAGTCATCTTATATAAAAGTAATAAATACATCATGTAAGCAACAGTCATAACCTTTAGTGTAAACACATTGTTTTTTAATAAATTGGTTAATTTGCTTTTGTCTGTAATGTGAACCTTTTTCTGGGTTTAAGCAATAAAATGCAGCTGATAACATGAACTGCTATAAAAAAGGTCAAATTTACTCTAATTAAGACCCAAATATGTTAGATGATTATGATCAACTATATTTAAGCATTAATCCTGCTAATGTTGTTAAAGCAAATTCAAAAAAACCTGACTAGCGATGTGCTGAACATATTAAAGACAGGATAATATGAGTTATATCAACACTTTTTCAATATAAACTTACCACTAAGTTTGGGTCATTTCTGTAAACACTTTTATTAGCAAAGGTGTAATAAAATGATCAAAAGTGATGACCGTAAAGACTTTACTGTTCTTACAACAGCAACAAAAAAAATCCTATGTCAAATAAATGTTCCTTTTGAACTTTGTTCATCAAAGTTTACAAAATGTACCATGGTAATAGTATTATAGTACTGCATACATTACTGTGCAAAAGGCCTCCACCAGTAAATCTATCTATATAAAAGGTATAGAGGAAGTGCGGGGTCATTACTTTTGGGTGAGCTTATATCTTTAACAAACAAAATCCGAAAATAAGGGAAATATGTACACAATATTCAGAACAAAATGTCTTTTGGAATCAGAAGACTAGCATCAAAAGTCTGTGTTTAACGTCAACTCTTTAGCACCAAGAAACAGCTTGAACTTTTTTGCTGAGTGTTCTGAAATTTAATATCAATCTTATTTATTATCAATAAAATTTTAATAATATAATATTAATATCAATATATTTAATATTATTACATTTAATTGTAATATAAATGATTGATTTGCATATTAATTTAGTATTAATATATTTAAAATGAATCTATTTAATATCAAGCATCTTTCAGCCTTTCTAAGAGTTTTTTTTCTTAGATTTAGCATGTTCTGTCTTTTTTTTCTCTATACTGCCTATAAGGTTGCCTATACATACTGTGTATAATATTCAGGTCTGGACTCTGTGCAGGCCATTTCATGACTGTCTTTGTTTCATCAGCTGCTCTTCAAACATGATTACATTAGCAGTGTGTTTGGGATCCTTATCATGCTGAAAAAAAAAACATTACAAATGAGGTGCTTTCTAGTAAGAATGACTGACTAATTAAAACCTGTCTGTACTTTATCAGCTTTCACAATTCCTATATTAATCCCTATATCCGCTATATTAACCACAGCTCTGGCAGAAAAGCAGATCAAACCAAGACAGAAACTCCAGTATTTTTCATTCATTCCTCTGTTTCTCCAACGCTTTCTTTCAAATCTTAAAAAACATGTCTAGAACCTGTATTTTTTTGGTTGTGTTTTAAAAAAGAGAGTAACACGCTGGCTGAGTGGTAAGCACTGTCGCCTTACATCAAGAAGGTCACTGGTGACCAACTTAGCCAGGTTTCTCTCTATTTTTTTCTGTTTTTTTCCTTCACTTTCGCCCATTGGTGAAGATATATATATATATATATATATATATATATATATATATATATATATATATATATATATATATATATATTTTTTTTTTTTATTATCATTATTTTTTTTTTTTTTTCCCCCACGCCACTAGCTTGCATAGTTTGGGACTTGTAGAGCTGTGCATCGATGGATTACCCTGCAGTGTTTGGACTCTCAGTGAATATTAAAACACATGAAGTGAATTAATCTAAAGTGAACTGAACTTAAACGCTGAAAACTGAACTACATTGTTTCAATTCGCTATAATATTCTATGTGAAGCTGCTTTGACACAATCTACATTGTAAAAGCGCTATACAAATTAAGATGAATTCAATTGAGTCCTTGCTTGGCCAGTTGGCATTTCTGAGTGGAGTTTGCATGTTCTCCCTGTGTTGGTGTGGGTTTCCTCTGGGTGCTCCGGGTTTCCCCCACAGTCCAAAGACATGCACTATAGGTGAATTGAATAAACTAAATTTACCGTAGTGTATGAGTGTGTATGGGTGTTTCCCAGTATTGGGTTGTGGCTGGAAGGGTATCAGCTGTGTAAAAGATGTGCTGGATAAGTTGGCGGTTCATTCCGCTCTGACGACCCCTGATGAATAAAGAGACTAAGCCAAAAGAAAATGAATGAATGAATACTGGATATAATATTCAGGTCTGGACTCTGTGGTGGCCATTTTATGACTGTCTTTGTTTCATCAGCTGCTTTTCTCTTCAAATATTTCATTACATTATCAGTGTGTTTGGGATCATTATCATGCTGAAAAATAAAACCTAGTAAGAATTTCTAGTAAGAATTGCTGATGAATTAAAACCTGTCTGTATTTTTCAGCATTCAAAATCCTGAAAAAAATTGACAACAAGCAATATTGACAACAGCTCGAGAAAAACAGATCAAACCAAGACAGAAACGCCAGCATTTTTCATTTATTCTTCTATCTTTCTCTAACTCTTTCTTTCACATGTCTTACAAAATCTGTCTAGAACCTGTATTTTTCTGGATGCATTTTAATGAAGAGAATGAGAAGTAATATATAATGTCTTTATACCCTTGCTACTGGAGGCCTGAGACTTTTGCACAGTACTGTATATGACACTGAGGACTGGAGTGACAATGCTGAAACCTCAGCTCTACTATTACAGTAATATGTCGCATTTAAAATATATAAAAATAGAAATCAGTTGTTTAAAATTGTAATAATATTTCACAATATCACTGTAGTTTTAGTGAAATCTGTCAAGCAAGACACAAACCTTCCACTGGTTAGTGTAAATGTACATTACAGTAAACTGTACATTTATGGTCCCTAGATTTATCCAGCTAAATATGTCCTTGTGAAAATGGTGCATAGATTCCTAATTCCAATGCAAATACACATGGAATAAATGTTATTTGTGCACATATTTTGCACAAATTAAGTGTGTGTGTTTGCGTATTTGTAACAGTTGCTAACTGCTTTGTAAATGCTGTTACTGTACAGTAAGTGGATGCTTGTGCATTTTCTATCCATGCGTTCGTGTCATTCCTGTTTGGTTTTGTTCTCCGCCATCAACTCATTCAATTGTGGTTCGATGCGACGAGCGAATTTTTCCATGCGCTGCACACAAAAGGACGTGAGACGCAGCCAACCCGGAAAAACAATGGACAGAACAATGTGCTGAAAGGACAAACAATGGTGAGTTACGATTAAATATTTAAATTTCATATTCACTTTTATAAATTTGAGTAATTAAATGTTGTTAGCACACTATTACACCTTTAATTTCGATATAGTACCAACAGTTGAAACATGGCAGTATACTCTCTACTATAGATAGTGAGTGTGTGGCGTTTACCTGCAGTGCATGAGTTAAGCATCCGCTTGTGTATGTTGTGTAGCCCACAGTGTTCAGAGCGTCTCGAGCAAAAGAAGCTGCACTTTTCACCAGTGGATTCACAGGTACATTATGGGTCATGTTCGTGGAGACCATAAACGGGGCGACGCACTTGACCACAAACGAAACAGAAACAACATCAAGGTTTGCAAACTAAACAAAAAAGAACAGTGCTTTACTAGTAGTGGACTTACCTGAACAGTGATTCCCTTTGACCTGTACTCTGCATTCAGACCCAGAGAGAAATATGTTACGAATGCCTAAGGTGTAAGAGGAAGGAATACATACTTTGGTCATTTAAAAACAGGTTCTTTATACACTTATCAGTTTTAGGATGCTAATCTTTTTGGCGTTTCATACTATGTGTGTTTTTGGCCAGTCTAATGTAGACCGAAAGGGATAGTTCACCCTTAACTGATTCCAAACTTTTAAAAGGCACCTATTTTACCCCCTTTTCAAGATTTAAGATAAATATTTTGTGTCTCCAGAATGTGTTTGAGCTCAAAACACCGACCAGATTGTTTATTATAGAATTTCAGAATATTGGAATTTTCTGCTCTGAACAAAATGTAGCTGTTTTTGTTGCCTGTGCCTTTAATGCTAGTTCTCTCCGCCCACTGATCTCACGTGCCTCTCGGAGTGCCCCAGTCTCTGCCTCGGCTTCATCAGATAAACAGCACAGTGATAGACATGAAGAAAGCAGATCCTGCTTAACGTTTGTGAGAAATAGTACAGTAAGAACTTTCCCAATGATTATTTGATGTATTTGTTGTAGAGTTAATTCAAGCCTTTCTGCAACGATGAGTCACACACAGTGTTGTTACAAAGTTTGTTTTTGCACGGCAGATGTGACAGGATACATGTTAATATCCACTGCTGTATGGATATCCGTTATGTTAATGTACAAAATAAACCTGATTTAGCGTCTACAAACGGAGATTAAAGCATTTTTTTCTTATAATTGTTCTGACATGCAACTGTGGTAATAAAGTAAAGCTGAAGTAAATCACTGTAATTCCTTAAAAACATGCAGTGTTTTAAAATGTTTTAAACTAGTTAAACTCATTCTTGATCACATTTGATGATGATTGATGATCACAGAGAGCTCAAAAGATCTTTTGATCCCAATTTCTTTGCGCACGTCCTGTCTTGTTGATATGATTATATACATTACTATGGAGAAATGTTTATATGCAGCTGTCCATCAAATTAGTGGGTGGGGAAAACAATCTTCTCTGTCACGTTGAGGTTGGCCTCAAAATGGGAGGAATTTCTATATTACTGTCGGAAAATGTCAAAAAGAGACTAAATGTCTTTATATCACCCCAATATGACTGTGGACATACTATACCTACACACAGTTCTGTCCAAACAGCTAACAGAAGATGATTTTCATCATAGGCGCCCTTTAAGAATTTTTAGTTTTTTCAAATGAGTTTTTTCTTATGATAAACACAAAAAAGGATATTTTAAAGAAAGCTGAAAACCTGTAACCATTGACTTTCATAGTGGGAAAACAAATATTATGGTTACCGGTTTCCAGCTTTCTTCAAAATATCTTCTTTTGTGTTTATCATAAGAAAAACAACTCATTTGATGACAAGTTAAGGGTGAATAAACGACGACAGAATTTCCATTTTTGGGTGAACTATCCCTTTAGGAAAAAATGTGTTTATTTTTCTGTATTTTATCAATACTTTATCAATGTGTTTGTAGATTTTTTTTTAAAGAAGTTGATATGTTCTTACATAACATGCATATAACTACATATAACATTATATTCCACAAAATATTGCATGATTTATTATCTGCCTGTACACAGTATTTTCTGAATTATGGAGTGATAATTAGATTTTTACCTGACTTCATCCAATGTTCAGAATGTTGTGCTAGAAATGTGTGCAAATTAGCACATATGTAATATGTAAATAAGGCATTGTTTAATTTAATATTGAAATGTTACATTTGAGAAAAGGTCTAATACAAAAATTTTTCTCAAATGTCATCAACTAACTAAGGAAGTACATATTGTAAAGAGTATTACCCAATTAACCTGGGACGTCTTGCGTCAAATTAGTGCCTTTTATGTTATTCTGTAAAATAGCATTTCTCTCAAACGTGTGTGAGGTTTTTGTGTGTACCTTGGTTGCAGAATAGAGTGAGACCATTGGTACAGGCTGATATCCGGCTTCTGATGAGATGTTTATGATGAGACCTTTCCCCCTGACAGTAAACACAAGCCCTCAGTCGAAGAAAGAATTCTCATCATTTAGCTGATATTATCTGACAAGGCGGCTGCATTCCTTACCTTTCAACCATTCCTGGCAAAATAACTCTGCACATCTACAAAAGAAGATTATCATCGACATCAGTGCAGAACTGCAGCTCAATGTACAGTTTAAACATAAAGATGCGGGTCGCACCTTACAAAAATAATCCTTTTAGTTAATGTAGGTCAAGTATTCCTTAACATGAACTAAGAATTAACAAATCTGTAATGTATCAATCATAGTTCAACTTTTTAACAGTCTTTATTGATTTAAATACCTATTAACGTACAACAGAAATCAAATAATAATAAATAATAATTAAAAATACTATATATATATATATATATATATATATATATATATATATATATATATATATATATATATATATATATATATATATACACACACACACACACACACACACACACACACACACACATACAGTTGAAGTCAGAATTATTCCCCCCCCCTGTTTATTTTTTCCACCAATTTTTGTTTAACGGAGTGAAGATTACATTTCTAAACAAAATAGTTTTAATAACTCATTTCTAGTAACTGATTTATTTTATCTTTGCCATGATGACAGTAAACAATATTTGACTAGATATTTTTCAAGACATTTCTATACAGCTTAAAGAGACATTTAAAGGCCAAACTTGGTTAATTAGGTTAACTAGGCAGATTAGGGTAAATAGGCAAGGTTTTGTATAATGATGGTTTGTTCAGTAGACTATCGAAAAAAAGTATAAATATATATTTTAAATATTTTATATTTATATATAGACATCTTTAGAGTTTAGATTGGTCCAAAAAAGAAAAAATGTCCAGTGACCGGCAGTTCTATGGGCGCAGATGCCTTGCCGATGCCAGAGGAGAATGGTCAGACTGGTTCCAGCTTATAGAAAGGCAACAGTAACTCAAATAATCACTCGTTACAACCGAGGCATGCTGAAGAGCATCTCTGAATGCACAACACATCCAACTGGGGTTACAGCTGCAAAAGACCACACCGTGTGCTACTCCTGTCAGCTAAGAAAAGGAAACTGAGGCTACAATTCGCACAGGCTCACCAAAATTGGACAATAAAAGATTGGAAAAACGCTGCCAGGTCTAATGAGTCTCAATTTCTGCTTTGACATTTGGATGGTAGGATCAGAATTTGGCGTCAACAACATGAGAGCATGCCTTGTATTAATGGTTCAGGCTGGTGGTGGTGTAATAGTGTGGCGGATATTTTCTTGTCACACTTTGGGCCCATTAGTACCAATTGAGCATCATGTCAACGCCACAGCCTACTTGAGTATTGTTGCTGACCATGTTCATCCCTTTATGACCACAGTGTACCCATCTTCTGATTTTGGTTGATGGTTTCTTGAACATGACAGTGAGTTCACTGTACTCAAATGGCCTCCCCAGTTGCTGAGCTTAATCCAATAGAGCACCTTTTAAATGTGGTGGAAGGGGAGATTTGCATCATGGATGAGCAGCCGACAAATGTGCAACAACTGTGTGATGCTATCATGTCAATATGGACCAAAATCTCTGAGGAATATTTCCAGTACCTTCTTTAATCTATGCCACGAAGGATTAAGGCAGTTCTGAAGACAAAGGGGGATACTAGTAAGGTGTACCTAATAAAGTGGCCGGTGGGTGTAAATATACTGTACAAAAAAACACACACACTTATATTATGTCAAAACATTTTTGCCTAGCACTGGTTTTTATATTAATTTCAGTAATATTACTGACTAATATGCAAATATTTATATGCCCTTTAGTTGATCTATTATATGAGAGACTTGTTTAACAAATAAGTGGATCTAATTGGATTTGCATTGTGAATAAAAAAAAAGTAATTACTTTAGGTTTTTAGTTACTCCACTCCTCAAATGTAAATTCAAAAATCAAAAAAACTTCCACTGATTCTGTCTGATCCTGCGTATAACATATCTATATCCAATTATTTTATGTACAAAATCACAAATGTGTAGAATGAATGTAAACAATGTATGATCTGTAATATAGCTCACCTGAGTGACAGACAATGTGTTACAGTTTAGCACCTGTGTGATTCTCTGCAGACAGAAGAAAGTGCATCATGTAACACACACTCTCATAAGGACTCAGATAACAGTAGAGTGGTAAATCAAGCTGTGTGGTGTACAAAAGCTGAATCAGACCTGGTCTGGATCAGGAACATCAAGGAAATTTGCCAGAACCCCAATATAGTTCATGCCTACATTGTTCACTATGAAAAAAAAAAAAAAAAAGAGCCGCGCAATCATACACAATCTATTAGAAAAGGTACATCCAGATTTTATTTTAGTCAGTAATTATACTATAATTAGCATGTCGGTATTTTGCTTAGGAAAACAGTCCATTGCAAAAGAGAAAATACAACAGGCTGGAAAAAAACAGCATCTTTACAAAGGCAATTATATTAATACTTGAGCATTATTATTCATGCATATTTAGCACTTACAAATTCACCTCATCTAGTTCAACTGAACTAATGAGGCAGAGATATTAAAAGTTTTCCAAAACACTAAAAAAGTGATGATGATTATGATGATACTGTTACTATGTAACTGCTGATCAGATATTGTGGAAGACCCAGTTTACAAACTAGGCTTATTATCATTATGTACTCCTATATACATTTCTGGAGAGCGCCAAAAATGTCCCAGAATGTATGTTTTTTTTTTTTTTTTTTTTTGCAGTTTTTGTTTTCACAAATCCACCAGAGGCCGCTGTGTATGCTTTTTCAGATCTCAAATTTCTCTCGCGAGTGCAATTTGCGCCTGCTGTTCTCATGTAAATCCACCAGACTGTCGCCTGACTTACTGACTGATCAACCTACAGATATCCACACCCTCCCCTTCCCTAAACCCAACCAATAGTGTTTAAAATAGCACTGATTGACCAGAGCCCACCCTCTTCCCAAAACCCAACCACAGTGTTTTAAAAAGCAATCCAGAAAAAGAAAAGCGCCGTGATTTTTACGACAACCATTTTTCACAGAACTCAAACCCCATTGTCGCAGTCAACTCTGCTCTGCATAAAGTCCGCCGATGTACATGTCCAGCTATCGGAAAAACTGGTAACGATGGGAAATCTGTCCATACGTAGAAAAGCGGTCAGCTGATAAGCGAGAATAGGAACGGCATCATACCTCCCCGTAGCGTTCGCTTTAAAGATGCAGCCATACGTACTGTACTTCTGGCTACATAATTTGGGCTCTCCAGAAATGTACATAGGGCTACGTTTTTAGAATGAGCTAATGTTGAAATATAACCAAACATGCAGAAGGCAACGGACTGACATTAATTTAGCATTGTTTACAAAAACTTCAAAACCTTATGGTCCACATTTAGCAGTTTAATTTAAGTTAATTTACCCTCGAGACATTGGAATGGGATTTTGGGAATTTTTATGGTTTTTGGTGATTAAAAATTAAACAATTTTAATGGTTTGACCCCTGTAATTAATTTGACTCCAAAATGTATTTCATTCTTTTACACCATCTTAGATGCGTTTAACCCATGTAACCCTTGATCATTATCTTACCCAGAATTCCTATCTCCAGGCCCTCGAGCTGTTTTGTGATTGTAGAGTAGATGGAGTGGCCCTCGGTGAAGTCTGCCTGAATAACGTGCGTCTTTTGATTGTACTTATCCTCTAGAAAAAAAAAAAACACATACAGGAGATTTATGCTCTTTTTGCTCTGTATAAACTAAAAACAGAGCAAATGTGGATTACAGTGAAATGGAAGAAGATCTGTAAATGTTTTTCTTTCATTCACAGGATGACTTACCTATTTCTTTGGCGACTCTGTGAAGTTTTTCCTCTGAGCGACTGATCAGAACAATGTTTAATCCTCGTTTGGCAAGCTAAAATCCAGATATACAAGCAAAGATTTATTCATCATGTGTATACACACACAAAAATAAGAGAATGCTTAATAAATAAGCAGGTTGTCAATTCATGGTAACATTTAAATTTTGGATTAAATGTAATTTTATGTCATTGACTATCAAATTGAAAATTAAAAATGTCATTTACTTTTCTATGAAAATACAAAAACAAAGGTGTCCCATTTACAGATGTGTATATGTTTATTTTAAGTCAGCACAATATAAAAAAACATCAAAAATAATATTAAGTCAGCATTTGGTTGAATAATCCTGATTTTCAGTCTCAACAAATGAAATGTCATTCAGATAAGAAAAAAAGCTCTTTTTATTTTGAAATGTATAAGATATCTTAGCAAAAAAAAAAATAATAATATTAAATATTAGTTTTGCATTGGATTTTTGTCACCAGATCGTTACTATCGTTCTGGACACAATAAACTCTGCAACAGTTGAAACATTGATCAAAACATTGCCTTTAAGTCTTGGTAAAAGGGTAATTCACCCCAAAAAAAATTAAAATCCATCATTATTTACTCATCCTTGTTCCTAAAAAGTAGAAGATAAGAAGATGCTGAAGAATGCTGAAATAAAATGCATTGGTCATTGCTTGCTTTTTCCAGCATTCTTCAGAATATTTTGTTTAGTGTTCAACAGAAAACAAATTCATGAAAGTTTATTTTGTTAAAAATTATTTGAGTGTTGAGTTAATGATAAGGAATTGGAGGAGGAGGGGAGGGGCAGGGGGGTCGGTGAACTCTCTCTTTACCTTTTTAAAAGCCAATCACAGGAGACTTTCTTTAGCAAACACATTGTTTGATGGACATCCTCTCATCAATCAGACTTACTTCCCTGTTCCTCAAGTGAGGACAAGAACAACACGCCGGCAGCCAAGTGGGGGCCAGATGTAAATCTGATAAAATACTTAACCATATCCACAGAGATTTTGGAAAACGGAAATTACTATAAATATATTTATATGCATATGATTTTTTTTCTTTTTTAAATATTGTCTAAATGATGTTCAACAGAGCAAAGAATTTTTTTACAGTATGTCTGATAGTATTTTTTCTTCTTATTTGTGTTATTTCGGCTAGAATGAAAGCAGTTTTTATTTAAAAAAAAACTAAACATTTTAGGGTCAATATTATTAGCTCCTTTAAGCAAATTTTTTTATTTCGATAGTCTACAAAACAAACCATCATTATACAATGACTTCCCTAATTACCCTAACCTGCCTAGTTAACCTAATTAATCTAGTTAAGCCTTTAAATGTCACTTTAAGCTGTATAGAAGTGTCTTAAAAATTATCTAGTCAAATATTATTTACTGTCATCATGGCAAAGATCAAATAAACCACTTATTAGAGATGAGTTATTAAAACTATTATGTTTAGAAATGTGTTGGAAAAAATCTCTCCGTTAAACAGAAATGGGGCTAATAATTTAACTGTATATGACTCCAACTGTGTGTGTGTGTATACGTGTTTTTCAGGACACAAATCTGTATAATGGCATAGGTATGACACAGGTATTACAAAAAAGAGGTGAAATTTGAGGACATTGGTGACATCCTCAATTCTCAAAATGCTTATAAATCAAACAGAATGAGTTTAATCAGAGAGTGAAGCTGTATACAGTCTCCTGTGATGGTTGGGTTTAGGGGTAGGGTGGGGTGAGGGCAATACAAATTATGGTTTGTGCTGTATAAAATGAATGGCAACCTGTGTAATGTACCCACTTTTTACAAAAACAAACATGTGTGTGTATATATATATATATATATATTGAAAAAAATCGACCTGGTTCTGAATGTCGATTTCCATTCGTTTTCGATTACTTGACGTTCATCAGCAAAACTACATCAGTCATTGAAAGTCAGTGTGGTCTAATTATGGCATATTGCCAGTTTTTTTTTTTTTTCAATTATTCTGAGCTGACAGACACAACAGGAAAATAACAATTCAAAAAAAATCTACAAAAGTAAAACATTAAGAAAAAAAAGTTTTTCACCTTTAGTGTATAGAAGACAGAAATGTGTGGGGAACAGAGAGAGAGGGGAAGGAACGCCAAGAGACCTCTAACCAGGAATCGAACATGAGTCGCTGTGAGCACCTCAGTGCTATGTGTCAACACACCTAACCACGCTACTGGCACCAGACTCATGCCACATTTCTGACTTGAACCAAAGCCTAAGATCTTTTTAAGACTTATTTTAGTCAGATTTTGCATGTAGCATAGAGAAATCATAGGTCAATTTTAGATTAATGGTTACAGTAGAAAAGCTAGTATACTTGTTTTTATTAAAAAAGAATAAAATACTGACCTCTTCAGCATATGCTCGACCAATGCCTGATGTTGCACCAGTTACAACTGAAAAGGACAAAGAAAAGTTTAGTTTAATTACAAATATCAGTCTCCTTCCTGTACTACTGCCACTTATCATTGAGATCACCCATTTAGCCACTTTGATGGAAGTCTAATTCGCCATTAGTTCCCTTGAGACATTCCCATGGGTTCTTATAATGGGATTTTCTCAGTTGATGAGTAAAATAAGGTCTGTGTTTGGTAAACACATTTAGACATTTTTGCTTGACAATGTGAGCAGCACACCCCATTCACTGTGATAGGGGAAAAACAATAAAAATCTCTAAAAGAAAACTAAGAAATTAGACCTGTGGGTCTTAGCGTCCCGAATGCAGCGCACTAATGTTTAAAACTGTTTATGTCTGGAATGTGCAGCTTTTTTTTTAGTAAACATGAAATCACACAAGGCAGCAGTGATTGGTTTCTGGCTGTGCTGATGCCCTGGGCAGAATGAGTACAATACAACCAATGCAAAAGAACAACCCCTGCAGAAAAAATAGCAAACCGGGTCACGAGCACACGTTGTGCTTTGGACACTACATGTTGGTATGAAACCCCTTCACGCTGCTAAACCACAAACATCTGTACAGCTCAGGCCAGATCCTGCTGTCTGCCGGACTCCCTACGATCCACCAGCTAATCAGCAGGGCTCTGCTGGTAAAGCACAGTCCACCGGCTGGACCAGCAGAAAAACAGGACAAACTGCCCCAAAACAGCACAATTCATGCTGCTAACAGTACTTTTGATCAGCAGGAGCTAGATATACATCCCTATCATTTAATTCTTTCTAAAACTGAAAACTGACCAAACCTGAAATGTTGACTTTACTCAAACAGCACGTTTCCTGGTGTCATGCACTGTTGTACTGGTTGAGCCATTCCTGCTACAGGGATACAGCAGACAACCCATACAAATTAAGTGTTTTAGCTTAGGCAAGACCCAGAAATAAACTTCTCCATGTTTAGAGTAAAATTTCTCAGGATCATAGTTTTTCCACAATTGAACATGTAGCATTGATAAGTAGACATGGGCAGGTATAAGGTTCTGACAGTATGATAACCTTGGATAAAAATATCACGGTATTGTAATTGCTGCTCTAAAATAAGCTTTTTAAATGTCTGAGTAAAACAACTTATTTCACCCTATTGAACATATATTGAAACATTTCTAATACTTTGGAACAGTAAAGATTTCATTGGGGGAACAAATCATTGACTGCTGTCTTCATTAATTTCAATAGCACAGATTTCTTTACATCACATAAAAACACGTTAAAAACCCTTATGCATACCTTACGAATGATTAAACAGAAAATTTTAGCGGTTTTAAAACCTTGACTTTTCCAAACCGCAGTAAATCTTAAAACCAGTGACCATCCCACGCCTATTGATAAGTAGTATTTTGTATCATTTTTTTTTGTTGCTACTCCCTAAAAATGCTAGTTTGTATCAACCCGAATTTGTTTAAAATATGAACAAGCCCAGCTCTGAGTAAATACAAATATGTTTTAACCTAATAGCTGGCTTTGCCAGCTCAGAATTTTATTGTGTAACTACTTTCATGTAGTTGAATAAGGTGCAGTGTTTTTCTGTTTCACTGTTAGTAATTATTCCAGTAGTTATTACATTCTAATAATGTAGTAGTAGTTGTTGTTTATAAAAATGTAAAATATATTTATTTTTAAATATAACAGGTAACTTAAGTTACAATAGCAGTCACTGTTATATTGTTGCAAGTTTAATGATGTACAAAATGGAATACCTTAATCTGCCTTGGATCTGCCTGTTTACATGATAGTCGCATTGTCATATATCTGATTTATTTCTAGATATGAAGGAGGCCTGAAACCAGTTTCTGAATATCCGAATGCATTGTTTTTTTTTTTTTTTTCGTGTTTACACGGTCATAGGACAGATCCGATCTTTATCGCATACTGTATGAGCAAAAAATCTGAATTGGGTCACATTTAACTGGCAGTGTAAATGGGATATTACATAGCCAGCACTAGGCATGGGACCATAACCGTTTTTAAAGGTTTACCGTGGTTTCGAAAAGTCAAGGTTTTAAAACATCCAAAGCTTTGTTATACCGTTCCTACGGTTTGTACGTTTTTCTATTTTGTTTACGTGTTTTTAACAACTATTTTATTTAGTTTTTAGGGCAACAGTATCTCCAGCTGAACAGGACCCTCCACATCAAAAGCTACAGCTCCAAAATATTTTAAATGTTTCTGAAAAAGAAATTTTATTGTGTTCAATGGGGGAAAATCTTGTTTTTGTTTACTCAGACATTTAAAAACAACATATTTTAGAGCAGTAATCACAGTACCGTGATACGGTGAAACCGTGATAAGTTATCATACTGTCAGAATTTTAAACCAGCCCATGCCTAGTTGTGACTACAAATAAATAGTATATTGATATTTAAGTAAAGGTGTTCACCAAACTGAAGGTAGTGATGCTTCACAGAAATGCCATTACACCTCTGGTTTGCATTGTTTTATAATAATTCAACAGACCACAGTCAATTATTCCGCTCATAATATGTTTACCAAACCTAAAAGAGACACTATTCAGATGTTGTATTTCATTTGTCAGGTTTCAGTCCACAAACAGCTTCTGCTTGTATTAATTGATTTAATCCAAAGACATCTGCTAACTCAGTCATGAGATGATATTTAGCTTTGCGTTTCCCCCAAAATAATGGCACAAATCTTGGCCTATTCATCTGCCAATGATAACCAGGAATTAACAGCCCTGTGCTTTAAACCTCGGCGTTGTTTGAAAGGAATAATGTAACATCGGCTTGCCGTACAAATGTGCAGCGTCCGATGACAGACGGGCACTTGTGTCAAACAACATGCTTATTTCCCCTTTTATAAAGCATCTACTCTAAACTATTTTATCTTGACAATTATGACTGATTTCATGATGGCCGAATAAAGAGAAAGGAAGCCACTGTGCAGTTGTGAGTCTTACCAGCCCAGCGGCCGTATGTCCTCAGGTCCGTCCGCCAGATCTCAGAGATCACGTACACTTTGAACCCGTGCCAACACTGCCAGGACCACCTCAGCATGTAATACACAACCGTAACACAACCGATGCCACACAACACAATTGAGTACCAGCAGCACTCTGCATTGTCTCCCATCTTCTTCACAACACCGTCTTTCTGTGACACTGTCTTAAACAACACAATGAGCACGCTCTTGTATGCTGCAGAGTTAAAGGTGGGAGAAAAAACTCCACACACACGCACACACACACACAATTAATGATATGCAGGCCCCGCCCACCGCGCATGAGGGCTGCCTGTCATTGGTCAGCAGTATAGAATAGAACATCATATCCTAGAATGTGTAACTCCGCCTCTAAACACACGCACACAGTGTTCGTGTTTACAGGTGAGAGGTCATGCAGTGTGTGCGCTCCCCTCAACTCTATCATGTGGGTTTTCTTAGCTTGGAGCAACGTTTGGTAGGCTATATGATTCGATAAATATCTGTCATGTGGTCTAGAGCTGCCTTTCATGAACTCAGTTTATTACCTTACGAAACAGATAAAAAGCCACGGACCATCCCTGATTGTAGCCTTACTCACAGATATTAAATCACAAATACAAGCTAATCAACTCCCACAGAGCCTCGCCTGATTGCTGCCATTTCCTGGTAATTTGTAAACATAGATAAGTACACAGGAACAGCCTACAGTGCTGTCTTATGTATACTGTGCGCTGCTGGATAACTCCAGGCTAAACTGTGGAAAATAAATAATTCATCATATAATGCATCTATTGTCTGCACTGTGTACGCTTGTCATCTGACTCTGTTTTCGATAGAAATAATCCATTCTTAACCTATAGGAGACTTCTTTCATAAAACATTGAGGAAGCTTACCTATTCCAAACTTGTGCTTGTATAAGTATGTTGGAGTATTTTAGGACACCGGCTAATACACAGCATCATACTTGACGTGTGTCAGGATATTATGTGGAGAGCCACTGTGTTTATTCCGAACTATGTTCAAATCTTTTGTCCAGTTTGTCTCCTCATTGAACTTGCATGTCATAGATTTGTCAAAATGACAGAAAGGTATTAAGTAGATTATGTTAGTTATAAAAACATGACACGTTCTGGCAGAACATACAGGTACAACTTGTTCTAATCGCTTGTTTACGTTTCTGTATAAACACTAGATGGCGATGTCGACTGATTAGTCAGCTACAGTGTATTATGTAAACAGGCATTTAATTTAATTAATAATTTGGTAAAAAAAAAACTACTACAATCTTATTTGTTTGCAAAGATGTCATGTGTGAATATTAGCCTTGTATCATCAATGATAAAAATGTAATATTTAATATTTAATTATAAACTAAAGCATTTTAATTCTTCTAAAAGTAAATATCATAAAATTATATCATGGAATATTTATATAATAAAAACAATTTATCAAAATCACTAATAAAGTGTTGTTATGAAGCTTTGTTGCTTGGAGCAGGAGTGGATTTAACTAAGCAAGGTTAGCAGCCGCTTAGGGCCCCAGGAAATCTGAGGGCCACCAAATAAATACCTAGAAGTATAAATTCATTCATTCTCTTTATGGCATAGTCCCTTTATTAATCTGGGGTCGCACAGTGGAATGAACCGCCAACTTATTCAGCATTTTTCTTAACAGCGGATGCCCTTCCAGCAGCAACCCATCACTGGGAAACAGCCATACATTCTCATTCACATACAAGAAATAGTTTATTAATCATTTTTTTGTTGTGAACTCATTTCAGGAAAACACATCATTTAAAAAGTTTTACAAGATGCTTTACATGCTGTTATTATTTTACATTAGGACAAAATGTAGAAAAGGAGATATATAAGAAATAAAAAAACAGGAAAATGAATAAATGAATAATAAATTAAAGTACAAAATGTGCAATTTAGGACTTTGGGCCCCACCGCTGGAATTGCTTATAGGGCCCCCAAATCACTAAATCCAAAAGTTAATAATGACGCATAAGTTTAATTCAAATTATTCTCTATTCTGTTTAATGTTCAAAGTTGAAGAAGGTGATTTAATGCATTGTATTTGGAATTGGATATACACTAAAGTATATCCAACACCAATCAAAAGTTTGGGGTCAGTTTTTTTTTTTTTTTAATAAAATTATTCTGTTCATCAAGGCGGCATTTATTAGGAAGAGGTACAAAAAAAGTTAAATTGTTAAATATTTTTATAAAAATGTTAAATAACTGTTTTCTTATTGTATTTCGTTTAAATTTTTTAATCCAGTCATTATTGCTTTTATCACTGTTATATTAATAATAATAATATTTATAATAATAATAATAATAATAATTACACTAATAGTAATAATAATAATAATAACACTAATAATAATAATAATATAATGATAATAAAAATAATAACACTAATAATAATAATAATAATAATAATCATCATCATCATCATAATCATAATAATTAATATTAAAGTGATTTGTGAAGAATCATGTGACTCTGAGAAATGAAGGTGAAAATCTTTAAAATGACTGAAATAAATGATTAAATAAAATGATAAACAACTTTTGAACAGTTATTTTATAGTGCAATAACATTTCACAGTTTTTACAGTATTTTTGATGAAATAGATACAGCCTTGGTGAGCAGGAGAAACCTATTTTAAACCATTTAAAAATCCTACTGACCATAAACTTTTGACCGGTAGTGTATTCCAAAGCCTATTGGGTAAAGATTTGTAGGAGATTAAGTCACAAAAATACACAATGTGACTTCGACACTCTTAATTTTTTTGTCAGGTCTTGCTGATAATAATTGGAAGAGTGCAAAAAAAGCAGGAAGTTGTTTAACTTTCTTATATATGCTTCTCGTAAAAGTATATTTTTTAAATGGATATCTGATAAACCACCAACAGTATCAGAATAGCATAAAGTAATATTTGATCTTGTCATTCACTGAAAAAAATATTCTGCAAAATTGTTGCAATTTATATGGGTTCAATTTAAACAAAAACAAAAAAATGTAATTATATTCAACCTAATCTATTTCTTTAAATTCAGCCTAAATAAATTTTTACAATCACTTCAATTTTATTGTAAATTTAAGGAATCTTTTTTTTTTTTTTTTTTTTTTTTTATCTTTTTTTCAGTGTATTATCCACTGGTCAAGGGGAAAATTGTATACTTTTTATCACATCTGGACTCCTTTTCTTGAGTATGTAGGTCCCAGGATTTTTTGTAAAACCTTAGATTACTATAAACCTTGGCTAATTTATGAATTATTATTATTATTATTATTATTATTATTATTATTATTATTATTATCATTATTATTATTATTATTATTATTATTATTATTATTATTGTGTATTTTACACTCAAAAAATATTTTCTTGCTTGTTCAAAGTACTTAATTAAAATGAGCTGAAACAACACAATTATTGAGATTTCATTGGGACAACTTATTTTTTATGTTCAATCCACATAAATTTATTAAAAGTGTTAAGTTAACTTCATCAATTTGTGTTGGGTCAACATGAAGGAATTGTGTGGAATCCTGCATTTTTTTTTCCAGTGTATGTCTTCTTTTTGATCATTATGTGCTGTGATGATGCTGTGTTGTTGAGAAATGTCAAATGTGTTGGTTGTAATCTGTGGTTATTGTTCTGTTGTTTTGTTAAAATAAATATAAAAAATACAACACTAAAGCTAGTTGCTAAATAAGTAAATGCATTTTATGTCACACTAAAGCAGAAAATAAAATAATAAAGGGGGAGAAACAGATCTTCAAATACCATTATTTCAGTTTGAAACCTAATAAGACAGTAAATTTGGCTCTTATACGGTTGGTGTCGGTAACAGTGATCCCGCCCTGTCATATAATCAGTTGTAAAGCAGTGAAAGAAAGGTCAGATGAGGCTGCTTATAAAATAGAGTAAAAGCAAAAGTGAAAGTTACGTCTCTGGTGTTCCCCTTTATTCAGTTTGCGCTTCACAGACGACGGAATGTCCATTTCCTGGTGAAGGTATTTGATTGCTTTTTGTCTTGTTTCACTGTTGTTATGATAATTTTAAACATTCACCTAAGTGGAGGTTATGTTTAAAAGTAAGTGCTGACTTCTTGACCTTTTCTGGATTGATTTGAAAACGAAATCATCTTACAAAACTTTACTTATTCAACCTATTCTCTTGTGGATTAAACGGTTTTATATTACTTCTAAATGAGCAGCATGTCTCTGTATTGTTCACAGGTTTCTTAGTCTTATCTCTGGATCTGGATTATTTCCTGTATAAATCATGAACAAACCAAAGGTAGGGCTTTTGTATTCCTTTCATTTTGTATGATTTAGAGAGAACACTATTCGAAGAAATTAGATCTAGCACACTGAACCACAATTCAATAAACAATAAACTATAATGTTGTATGACCTAGAACAGTGTTTCTCAACCACTGTCCTGAAGGAACACTAACACTGCATGTTTTGGGTGTCAATGTGACAAAGGATGTCTCCTTTGTCCGTTACACTCATTGCAGGTCTTTCAGTCTCTGCAAATGAGCTGATGATCTGAATCAGGTGTGTTTGCTTAACAAGATATGGAAAATGTGCCGAGCTGGTGGTCCTCCAGAAATGTGGTTGGGAAACACTGACTTAGAATATAGATGAATATTTAATTTTTGTTTTTCATTATAAAAAGAGTTGTATTATAGGGCTTGGCCGATAAATGATATTATGTCGAATCTCGCTAAAATCTATGTTGATACAGGATGTCTGCATGGTCTTAAAAAGTCATAAATTTAATGAAATATTGTGCTGTAAGTCTTAAATCTTTTTTTTTAACAGGTCTTAATTTTTCTTTGTTCATGTTTAGTGACCCAATCAGGCCAATGCCTATCCAATCACGGTCATCCCCTCTCAATAAAACTTTTATCTTTTTAAACTTGTAATTTTTACATTTATTTACTATACTGGTTAAATTATTTTCCTTACATTAACACTTGTTTAAAAGTTATTTACCGCTGAGGAAGCTGACCTGGACAGACTGTTGTACATACATTTAGTTTATTATAGTTTTTAAAACCTTCAATGCTTTTATTTTTAAGAAAGGTTATGTTGAAAAAGTGTATGCATACAACTAGCTTGCTTGTTTTGACACAATATTTAAAATATTTAGCTCAGAATTAACTATATATATATATATATATATATATATATATATATATATATATATATATATATATAAAAATTATTAATTTATTATTGTATAATAAAATTTTTTAATTATTAAAAATAAAATCCAACTGGGCCTATTGAAAAACTCCTTAGCATTTAGCCCTGTATGAGTCTAAAATTTCATTCATAATGGTTCTAAAAATGTCTTTAAAAGTCTTAAATTTAACTCGCTGAAGCCTGCAGAAACCCTGTGATAACAATAAGCTTCAGACATTTTTAATCTATGTACAATATATCTAAAAGCCAGTCACCCAGCAAAAATTTAACAATGGGAATCTAGAAGTGGGTTGATATTACAAATGCACCAAATTAACATTAACAACTGAAATATATTGCTATCGTTCAATATGAAAAATAATTAATCGAGACTGCATTTTTACCACATCGCCCAGCCCTAATATAAACATTATAAATAATTCTATTGGAGTATATTTTACATAAAATTACTATTTCATTTTTCATCTAGTTTTTATTGTAAGAATTACTATTCCTTTCTGAGAGAAAACTTTCTACACTATTATTTTAGCACAAGTTTTCTTAATAATATTATTATTGTGCTATAAGTATTCAAAAAGAAATAATAATAAATAATAAAACTAATAATAAAATAATAAAGAAGACACAATAATCACAAATTAACCCAAACCCATAGCCCATCAGAGATTTTTAAGACAGAGCATGTTTTAATAGCTTTTCTTATGATATACAAACATAAATAATTTTAATTATATATTACCATTAACTACATAGTAATAACTATATATTATAAAGTTAATATAATTTTCTATTATTCATTTATTAAATTTCCTTTGGCTTTGTCCCTTTATTCATCAGAGAAATGAACCGCCAACTTATCCAGCATATGTTTTACACAGTGAATGATCTTCCAGCTGCAACCCAGTGCTGGGAAATACACTAACATTCACACACATACACTATGGCCAATTTACTATATTTTTGACTGTGGGGAACTAGAGCACCCGGTGGAAACCCACGCAAACACAGGGAGAACATGCAAACTCCACACAGAAATGTCAACCGACCCAGACTCGAATTAGAAACCTTCTTGCTGTGTGAAGACAGTGCTACCATTGAGCCACCATGTCGCCTTAATTTTCTATACATTTATTTAAATGTTTCTTTAAATCATTGGTCTCAAACTGGATTCCTGAAGGGCCACAGCTCTGCCGTTTTGCTCTAATCCTATTCAAACACAGCTGATGTAACTAATCAAGGTGTTCATGACTCTTTTGAATATCTTGATTAGTTGGATCAGCTGTGTTTGATTAGGGTTGGAGCAACAATGTGCAGAGCTGCAGGCCTTCAGGAATCCAGTTTGAGACCCATGATTTAAATACTGCGTACATGATTTAAATACCGTGGGTTTTATTAGAAAATGATGGTAAATATGATGATGTGATGTTAAGTATGTTCAATTAGAACAATAATGCCATCAAATTAAGTAATTAAATTTTTAACACTGTGCTTTAAAACCCCAATGGTATTTTCAAAGACAAAAAAGTGTCACTGTTGCTGAATGAACTAATCAGAAGTCAATTAATCACTAGTAAATGATTCAAAGTCTAAATAGTAAGGCTACATGTTTGTTTTGTTAATGAAAGAACCATTATGTTGAATGACTTGTTTGGATTTAATGATTTAATCAGATTGAAAGTGTTTCTGTCTGTCTAATGTTTCAGTGTCCTGGCTGTCAGGGGTCTGATGATATCCGGAAGCTGGATGGTCAGCGAGCGGTCTGCAAATCTTGCTCTAAAGTGAAGCGGTGTGTGTTTCAGTTCTGCTGGGCCTGTCAAAGAGAATGGCCACGGGATGCTTCAACAACCAACTCTTGCATGCTGCCAGACTGTGCGCTCCGTGCTGCCCTTCTCAGCGTCAAACTGATCGATGACCCGCAAAGTTCAGTGTTAGGGTGCCCTTATTTCAGGGCATGTCCGGGATGCAAGGCCCTGCTTACACACAGCGGTGAGGGCTGCCCTAATATCATCTGTCCAAACTGTGATGAGGAGTTCTGCTTTCGCTGTCTAGCTCCAGAGTGCTACGATGATCAGTATTATGACAGTGACAATGAGGAAGACATCGAGCCAGAGCCCTGTGTGATAGTAGACAACACTCAGAGCCTTCAAGATCTGGGACTCTAGTGGACGTCTGTGAGGAGAAACTAATAAAAATACTAATGTCGTCATTTGCACATTTATTTGATTTAAAAATCAGCAAGAGAAAGAAGATCACTATATTTTAAAAAGGCAATTGTTACAGTCTTACTTTTATCTCTATATGCTTAAAAAACTACAAGAACAAAACAAACAACAACCTTGCACTGTATGAATTAGAGCAAAGTGGAATTAGCATTGACATATTACTGCTTTTTATTTTAATTTCAGTGATTGTATGTACGCTATTATCTGATGATTTCAGAATTTGTTATTTTCAAATTTTAATTTAAATTGAGAAGAAATGTTAGCAGACCTTTATAATAAATAAAAAATAAAAACAAATAAAACACCTTTATCAAATAAAACAACTACTAAAACCCCATAGTTAGTAAAGTAAATTCAGACAAACTAAGAATTTTCTAAATGGTCTCTAGTTAATTTTTTCTAATCTCTATGTACTTCTATTGTCCACAGGTATCAGTAAATGTATCTGCTAATTGATTAAATTTATTAATTCATTTAATTTCCTTCGGCTTAGTCTCTTTATTAATCTGGGGTCGCAACAGTGGAATGAACCGCCAACTTATTCAGCATATGTTTTACACAGCAGACGCCCTACCTAATTGATTAAATGATCATTTAAAAAAGAAGAAGAAATATTTTCATGCAAAAACATTGTTTTCTGTTCTTTTTAGAAACAAGGGAAAAAAATTTAATACAATTTTAAATGTGTGATTGAAAAGTTTTTTTAATCTCCTGAAGACTCTGAAAGAGTACAAAATAACATTTAAAATATGATACAAACTATTTGGATGCAGTGAAATACTTCATGATTACAGCCCTGATCAAGTATTCAGAACAGATGGGCTTATTATAGTAACGATTCATACAGCACACCTTTCTCAGATGAATTATAGAAAAAAGAAACTGTCTGCTAAAATAAAATTAACTTTTATATACTTTTATATATTTTTTGTAAGTTTTATATATAAAATTTATATATATATATATATATATATAATTTGGGTATCTGTTTTATCTCAGAAACAGAAAGATAAAATATGATAGAGAAAGTAAAAGTGCTTTAGTATTTTGGTATTCCCCTTTATAGTCTGCTTAGGCAGGTGATAAACACACACAGCTTTTGTTTTTCTCGTTCGGTGAAGTGGCAAGATCGATGAGCTAGTCTTCAGTAAGTACTTAATTACATTTTGTTAATTTGACTATTTATTTGATAGTAGAAAGAGTGCATTAAACTGTTAAACTGTCATTTTACACTTTTATACGTAGAAATAATGTTTTGTTGTTAGAAACATGTTTGTAGTCAATATTTTGACATATTATTGGCACACATGGTAATTTGTTAACTGACCTACCATGACATTTATGAAATAAAATGTAAACATTTATTTCAAAATAATGCAGAAATGACCGTTTGCAGCTATATATTGTTTTAATCATTGGGATTATTTGTATGTGTGTGTGTGTGTGTGTGTGTGTGTATACAGTTGAAATTATTATCCCCCTACATTGTCTACTGAACAAACCACCGTTATACAATACTTTGTCTAATTAACCTAACCTAAATAGTTAATCTAATTAACCTAATTAAGCCTTTAAATGTCACTTTAAGATGTATAGAAGCGTCTTGAAAAATATCTAGTCAAATATTATTTACTGTCATCATGGCAAAGATAAAATAAATCAGTAACTAGAAATGAGTTATTAAAACTATTATGTTTAGGAATGTTTTGAAAAAAATCTGCTCTCTGTTAAACAGAAATTGGGGCAAGAAAATAAACATGGGGGCTAATTATTCAAAGGGCTAATAATTCTGACTTCAACTGTAGAAGTGCATATTTGTAATCCCAGTGGTTCAAAAAATATACATTAAAGAGGCCATTTGTGCCATATTACAAAATAAATGTTGCATATATGACATCTATTTTAATATATAAAATACAAACATCAACTTGTATATGTTTATATGTATTTTGCATATATTTCCTCATGTATTATGCTTCTATGAGCAGAAGAACAGAAATGTGTCTTAACATAAATTTTCTAATCCTGTGCCCCTCTCTCTCTCAAACTCCAATTCAAACTTGCTTTATTGGCATGAAAAATGTTATATTACCAAAGCATTTGTGATGTTTACATTAAACAAAACATGAGAAAACAACTGACATAGTAGAAGTGACAAAAACACAATAATTAACAGTACATTTAACAAACAACATTAAAAGATAAAATAATATTAATGAATAATTATGAACAGTATATTTTCTAATACAGCGGTTTAATCCGCTGTGGCGACCCCAAATTAATAAAGGGACTAAGCTGACAAGAAAATGAATGAATGTTTTCGAATACATTTATAACTATTTAGATGTGTGTGTACCCTCTTTCTCAGGTTTGTCCACCAGTGGAAGTGGTCCAGGAGTATTTATGCCATGAGCACTCCAAAGGTACAGTAGATTGACCGCTTAGAGCTCTCCTATCCCTTGTAATGTCAGACATTTTGTACACAATATTTTTTTAGGCACTTGCCCTGGCTGAATGCTGTTAGAGGTGAACTAAGCTACTATTCTAAGCGCTAAGAAAGAAATCTGATGTAAGTGACATCATCTTTCGCTAAGTTACTTTACTATTGTTGTTAAACAGAGAAATCCTTTTACAAATAACTTTTATGGTAACACTTTACAAAAAGGTTAATTAGTTAATGCATTTACTAACATGAACTCATCATGAACAACACATGTACAGCATTTATTAATCATAATTGAACATTTACTAATGCATTAATAACATCCAAGTCCATGCTTGTTAAAATTAGTTAATGCACCATGAGTTAACATGAACTAACAATGAACAACTGTATTTTCATTAACTAACGTTTACTAACATGAATAAATACAGTAGTAAATGTATTGTTCATTGTTTGTTCATGTTAGTAAATGCATAAATAAACATTAACTAATGAACCTTATTGTAAAATGTGACCACTTTTATCTTAAATCTTGGACCTTATTCTTGAGACAAAAAATGACCAATAAAATGGTGTGAAGCACCAAAAGGTATTTTCGAAGCATAATAAAGTTAATTTTAATACTAATTAAGCTTGTTATCTATGAATTTTCAAACATACTTTTTTACGCGATGTTTGTTGCATACTAAGGGCTCTATTTTGACGATCCATGCAGGTGCAAAGTGCAAAGCGCAGCGCATAAAAGCATGAATGGCGTGTCTGAATCCACTTTTGCTATTTTAAGGATGGAAAAATCCACTCTGCGCCATGGAGCATGGTCTAACAGGGTTGAGCTTATTCTCTTAATGAGTTATAGATGTGTTTTGAGGATAAACCAATCAGAGTCTCATCTCCCATTCCCTTTAAGAGTCAATTGCGCCGCTCCATGGCGCATTTGCTAGTTGTATGACGGACTTTGTAAGTGGAAAAACTGAACGCTTCACTAGTGAGTAAACAAATAAACAGACAATATGCAGCAAGAGAATAAGCCTCCTAATTCTTTACTTTCACTTTCATTCTCGTGGATAAGGAAACGTGTTGTAGGCACAGATATCCATTGGCCTACATAATTAATTTAGTTTGTTAAGCACAAAGATTTGTTTCAAAACTATTTCTAAATTCAGTTTTAATTTCCAGCAAACTAATAAATGAACAATAATAACCAAGTGAGGTAAAAAAAAACCTCACTATTATTTCCTAATACACATGCTATGCCCCATATGGTCTAAAACCTGATAGGTTGGCAAATCTAAGCTTGTTTTTAATAAAACAAATATAAATATGCATTTAATAAATAATACTGCTAATAATAAAAACATTATACAAAAGCAAACTGTCATGAATAAACTGAAAAAGCCCCCCGAGATGAAGAAGGTATGAAGAGAGTGGTTTTTATAGTTATGTTGAAAAATAATCATTTTTGTAATATTTTATTCTTTTAATTCATTTTAATTTGTAAAGATATTTGCATAGTGCTGTACATCCTGCATGTGTATTAAGCAATATTTAAGGGAGGTGCACAACTAACGCGCTCTGCGCTGGATTTCAGACCTCCTCTCAGCTGGTCTATTGTGCAGTCTATTTTAGTAACACGCCAGCAACTCATCTTAATACACCTTTTATCTAGATCGAGTCCACAAAGTGGCGCAACTGGATTTGCCATTTAAACAACGTTGCAGAAAACGGGGAAATTATGGTCTGAAATTAGCAACATGTCATAGAAACACGTCTTGGGCTTTATTGCGCCGGGTGATTGGGCCCTAAATGACAATAGACTGAAGTTTTTAATTTAAAACTTTAACACATTCTAATTTTTCCCAATGATATATCCTGTGCTAAATTTGTATTTTAAAAATATTAAGTATGTACAGTTGAAGTCAGAATTATTAGCCCCCTTTTAATTTTTTTTCTTTTTTAAATATTTCCCAAATGATGTTTAACAGAGCAAGGAAGATTTCAAAGTATGTCCATTTAAGGTCAAAATTATTAGCTCCTTAAAGCTATATTTATTTTGATAATCTACAGAACAAACCTTCGTTATACAATAACTTGCCTAATTACCCCAACCAAGTTAACCTAATTAACCTAGTTAAGCCTTTAAATGTCATTTTTAGCTGTATAGAAGTGTCCTGAAAAATATGTAGTCAAATATTTTTTACTGTCATTATGGCAATGATAAAATAAATCAGTTATTAGAAATGAGTTATTAAAACTATTTTGTTTAAAATGTGTTGAAAAAATCTGCTCTCCATTAAACAGAAATTGGGGGGAAAATAAACATAGGAGGCTAATAATTCAGGGGGGCTTATAATTCTGACTTCAATTGTATAAATAATATGCATAAATATGTTTTTTTTTCCCCCATTTTTTATTCTAAATCTTTAGGAAATGTTTTTGTTACATCAAAAAAAGAAAAAAACTGTGGTTATGATGTCCATCTAACAAGCTAATGCTAAAAAGATAATGCTTAAAATGTCACTAAAATGCAATGTTTAAACCTCATACTTAAATAGAAAATTAGGTGAATAACTGCAAAAAAATACACTTTTTCAAAAAAAAAAAAAGAACCCCTTTCATCAGGCTGGCTACAGGCCTGATATATGGGGGAAAGCAAGTGTTAACACTTGCTGTAACACTGTAAAAAATAAAAAGTTGAGTAAACTTAAAATTTTAAAGCAACCGGCTGCAAAGAAATTTAGAGTTTACTTAACTTCAGTGGTTGAAGTTGTGCCAAATTATTTTTTTAAGTTGACTGAAATGGCTGGTTTAAGTCATGACAACTTTCAAGCCTAAGTTCATCTAACTTGTCATTATGAGTTTGCCTAAAATTAAACAGGGGTTGAGTTAACTGTAATAAATGAGTTGGCACAACTTAACAGAAGTTAACTCAAAGCTGTGCAGCTGGTTGCCTTAATTTTTTAAGTTGATTTAATCTTTATCTTTTAATTCATAATTTTATGAAAATCTTATATCTACGCTTCTCAAACAAATACCTGTATGACTCTAAGTATGAAGTTAAGAGAACAAAACACACTATAAAACACAATATCAAAGAATATATTTATTGACAATTCTGCAAACAGCTTTCTGTCCAAATGAAATGTACTGCAGTCCAGAGAAGGAAAAGAGGCAACAAAAAGGTAAATCCTCAAATCCTATATTGCCTTTTAAGTGCTCGAGTAAAACAAAAGAAACATTTAAAATGCTTGCACTATCAACATTTTTTTCAAAGTGCAAGAGTAATTAGTATTGTCACGATATTTTAATTTTGTTACCCATCAGTTCTATAATTTTAAAAACATCCATTTCCTGCTAACATTTGAGCGTTGTTTACCATGTTTTAAACACTGTTATATTGCCATTGGGTTCACATGCTCAACAGAAAAGACTGATTGGGTGTGAAAATCATCAGTTCACCAAACTCACTGCTGTTTACTGAGTGTAACCACAGATACAGGGACACTTAAGAATTTCACATTGATCAACTGGTCTGTGTATAAGCTGACATCCAAGTGTTACGCTGATGGATCAACTATGCAACGTTTTGAAACACTCCAGTTTGTGTGTGTGTGTGTGTGTGTGTATCTGTGTTTGCACTCCATGAACATCAGTGAAAAGCAGTGAAATGGTGAACTTCTCAGCCAATCACAGTCATTTATGTTGAGCGCTTGAACACAACAGCCAATCTATCAATTGGTGGGAAATGGATGTTTTTAAAATTTGAAAATGTAAAATCAAAACTGAATTTAAGTTTCGTGACAACACCAAGAGTAACACAATTTCAGCGTACAAACAAATCCATTTTGTTTTTGAAAGACTGGACTCTTGCTGAGCACTGAGGATCAAGGCCAATAAACTAAAAAATAGTTTCAAAGATGTGTTTCAGTTCTTTGGGGTAGTTCATAATGAGGAAATTAATCAAACCAAAGAGGAGAACAACAGCTGTCGGAAGATCTTTTCTAACACGATTTGCTCTTCCAGAACCACAGACAGGCACCTTACATTTGGGTTGGTCTGAAGAGTGGCAACATCATCTTCAACAGTGCTAAGGATGTCCATCTCCATCTCTTTTGCGCAAATATCTTCTGGCTCTGTGTCCTGCAGTAAAAAGAAACATAAAAAGAGGATGAAAAACAATTTTTACTGCTAAATCACAAACATTTCCAAAAACAAAAAGCAAGGTAAAAAAAGCAAAGGTAAAGCAACTTAATTTGGAAACTAAAGGTAGTAATATCAGTAACACAGTCATTTATATACCTTCCATTTATAAAACTTTTCAGGTAACACTTTATAGTAATGAATCATTTATTAAGCATTAGCAAATAGTGAATTGATTATCCATTAAGCATCAACTCTACATGAATAAACATTAGTAAGTAGTTTAAAAATACAGCTACACATGTATAACGTGCTCAATAATTGTACTTTCATACTTTGTTAATGATTAATTTTTCATTACTAAATTAAGTATTGCATTGTTTTCAATTCAGTTATTTAAGAGTAGTTGGTGTTTTTAAAGAGCCCATATTATGGGTTTTTGAAAATTCCCCTCCATGTAGTGTGTAACACAGCTCTAAGTGAAGTGAAGTATCCAGCTAAGGCTTAAATCTGTTAGTGTACAGTGTTTAAAACTGTTGATTCATCTATAAAAGAGTCGACTCATAGTGCTTCAAACGAGTCGCCTTGATACCGATTCATTAGGTGTTTCGCCATGACGTACGAACGAAACCAAGTTATTCACGTGCACGCGCAAACCCGGGAGATTTCAAACCTGAGGCCCCGCTCTCTGACGCAGAAACCCAGACACACACACACACACACCCACAAACACACACACACAAACACGCCGGTCGATTGAAGTCACACTGCAGATGGATATATTGAGTCTCTACCTAAAGATGAAACCTCAGCATTATAGCCAAGCAGTTGGAAACTACTGGAAACTTCTGGAAACTACATGCTACAAAGAATACTTCATCAGCGTTTGTTAAAGGAAGGATCAGTAAAGAGTAACTTACTGATGGACGTCAGGATGGATTTTTCTTCCTCCATTTCTCAAGTGTAAGTACGTGCGATTAAAGTTGCCTCGTTGACTCTAGCTTGCAAATGTATTTAGTTGTGATTTGTTACTTGTAACCGCGTGTACTGTATCAGGTTAACTGGCTCTATTCTCTTATCGCGTGCAAAGTCACGTTAAAAACGCGACGCGTGCTGCTTTGTTAACGGAGCTCCGTGGAAGAGGAGTATTGTGTGTGTCTGTGTGTGCGTGTGCGTGTGCGCGCGCTGTCGTCCGGAGGTGTGTGTGTGTGTGTGTACGTGTGCGTGCGCGCGCGCGCGTTGTCGTCCGGAGCAGGGTTAAGTGCGTGCGTGTGTGTGTTTGTGTGTGTGTGTGTGCAATATGTGTGTGTGTGTCTGTGAAAAGAGCAGAGTGAGAAGCTAGGAGATCTCCTCAACTGTTTTTGGAGTTTTTGCTCAATAAAATAGTTAGTCGTCTGAGTTTTCAAGTCCATAGTCTGTATTTACATTGACCCACTGGCAGCTAAAATCCACGCCTACACTATCGAGCGTGTATGAACTGTGATTACTTTTATATTGCTGATTAGCTGTTTGGCATTTCACTCTCTGACTGAAGGCAGTCGACCAATCGCAACAGGCTGTCATTGGTCCAATCAGCGCAGATTAGCTTCGCGCTAAGGAGGGGTTTGGGAACAAATGAATCACTGGACGATTCATACAGGAGTCGCTGGGATAATTAGGTAAAAATAAATGCAGATTATAAGACCACGAAAGTGTTTTTTTGACCTTGCATGCATATTAAACTGTTGTTGGAGACCCTTACAACCAAGATATGACCCTATTTCATGTATAATATGGGCTCTTTAAGATCATTCAGAATGTGTAAGTAAATGATTAATAAACTTTTCAAATTACATTGATATATCTTATTATTCAGGCATATAGTAATAGTTACTTTACATGTTCATAAATGATTTATTAACTCAACTTCATTCAGTTTTGTGAGCTAATATAAGGGGAGGACTATTTATGCTTTATAAATTTCTTATAAATGACAATTAAAGGCTCACTCATATTTAAAATAGAAACATTTATTAATATCTATTTATTTCTAGTTGTATTAATGAAACTATCAAATGAAAAATAAATCTTTGCAATATTATCTAAAATAAATGTACTGTACAGTTTAAACATCCCTAAATAACATTGAAATGTATCAAAATATTTTGATAAATTACTATATTGTTGTTTTCTCCAGTTTTGTGTTATTTAGCAATGTTTAAATTTCACCATAGTTTAATTTTACGTAAGATTGCAAAGATTTATTGTTCAGTCGATACTAAGCCTTTAAATTTTACTTATGAGTGATATGCACAGCAAAAATAGTCCTCACTTTTGGTCGAAAACTGGATGAAGTTTAGTAAATAAAGCATTTATAAACATGTAAAGTAACTATTAGTTTATGCCTGAGTAATAAGATACATAAATGGTATTTTGAATAGTTTATTGATTAATTTTACTTATGCATTCTGAATGACCTTTAAAAGCACCAACTATTCTTAAATAACTGGTTTGTAAATAATGCAATTTTTACTTTAGTAATGAAAAATGAATCATTAACAAAGTATGAAAACATAATCATTAATCATATTATTCACATGCCTATAAGTTAAGAACACTACATTGGTAGCTGTAGTTGTGAACTGCTTACAAAACTTTAAAAGTCATAAATCTAGGACTGACACCCAAGTCATGTCCTCAGCTAGGGGTATATGCTAATAACAGACTCATCACACACTTACCAGGCAAGTCTTCCAGAACTTTTCCCTCATAAACAAAGTAGACCTTTCAGAGCTGTAGCCTTCCTTTGAGCGAGCACATTAGACGTCTGAAAGATATCAAACAAAAATATAGGTCATCAGCTATTGTCACATTAAACCAGATGCTCAGACCCTGAGAGATAACAGGTGGCACAACTTTACAATTGAAGGGCATTAAATATGGTTATTCACAGGTTACTCATTTTGATCAGAAATTCCCAACATGTTTTAATTATTAAAAATGAAATTTGCTTTATAATTATTGTTGCAGCAACTGTTTTCACTCCCTGGTCAGCCGGACTCAGTCATGGTTGTTCTACTAAAGACTAAGAGATGAAAATGTAGCATCCTTTACAGAGGTGAAAACAGTGCTACAAACTTTTCTTTTAGGGAACAAACTGTTTTGTAACTTCAAAGATGAATTACCTGCATGAATACCAATATTGCACACAAAAAGAGGTAAACTCCATAAAGTTTAATATGCCCCCCTTTAATCAGTGATATGATTGAATGCTAAATAATTACTTGATTGTCCAGTTGTTCCAGGGGGGTCCTTATTATCTCTCCATATCGCCCACCGCATGATCGATAAAACTTGATAGCGTATTCATTCAAAAAAGAGAAGGTATTTTTGAGGTTGGTTTGAGTAATCCTGTAAAACTCAGCATAGACCTACAAACAAACCATAAAAAATGAATAGTATGAATTGTGAACAAGGGTTATACATTTTGAAATAAATAATCTGAAATGCAAACTTGCCTGAACTCCCAAAAACATGCAGGCCACTGTTTTCGGACATCAGCTGGTTAAAAAAATTAAACAGTCAGTACTTGCAGCAGACTGTTAATGTGCTAATGTCAAATGTGATTTTAATGCACCTACAGTCTTTAAAGTGCAGAAGCAGTCTGCGAACAAACAAGGCTGCTGCCAGCATGCTCCTTGATAGCGATGTAGTCTGTAGTGTTTCAGGAGAACTTCTCAGCTACTGTTTACAAATTTGCAAAACTTACACTGCATTACAAACCTATAAAAAAGTAAATAAAAATGTAACATTGCAGGTCAAATTGTTTTCATAAATTAAACTGATGTTTTTAAAAAGCACAATATAAAATAAATATTGCAAACATAAAAAGAGAAGATTTAATTAATACATACATACATGTTACTTAACTCATAAATGGTTAAGGTATGCCAAATAGATAATCATAAAAACCACAAGCTCCTGGAATACTATATGTACACTACTAGTGACTGTATATTTAAAGTGGTATGCCAAATATATTTTTGAAGTGGTTTTAATGTTATCGCATTGCTGTTTTAATACAGACACAACAGGGTTAACAGTACAGTGGTGACCGGCCGCTCAGATATGTCTGTTTGCAACAACAATATTTCACTACATTTCCCTCCAGTTTAAGAAGCAAATTAACGTTAAACAGTTCTTCAAATGAAGCAAACTTCACAGGTGGCTAGCTTGTTAGCCCGAGCTTGTCAGAAATGATTCTCACACGATGTAACTTAGTTTTTTGGGAACATAACATTACATTTTACTTTAGATTTGCATGCTATTTAGATTAATTTCGATAATAAAGCTAAAACAAAGCTTACCTGAATCAGGAGATGGCAGCTGCTGCTGGTGAGAGGACACCTTGTGCAAAATGGCACCCGAAGACAGACTGAGCATGTGCAAAGGCGGGAAGTAGACGATCCAGTGAAAAACTCAAAATGTAAAGTCTGCTCAACTTAAGTTTTTACTTTCATTGAACAAACCAGTTTTAAACATTCGGTTAACTCATTTTTAAAAGTAAACTCAACACTGAGCTCAAAATATGTCCACCCAACTTACAATTTTGATTTGAGTTAGCAAGGTGAGCTGCATCCAAAACTTTTAATATGCACACCTAACCCCACCCCAAACCCTAGCTCTCACAGTGACATCATTGAGTGCATTGTGTCTGACATTGCAAGTCTGTGATATGCAGTCTCAGCTTGCAAATCCAAGTCTGCATCCAGATACAATTGAGGAGAATTTAGATGTTTCACCAAATCCCAACAATTCTTTCTTCTTTTTCAGTGTCCCAACTGTCAGGGGTGTGATGTTGATGTTGTGGATGGTCAGCGAGCAGTCTGCAGGTCTTGCCTTAAATGCCGTATATTGCAGTTTCAGTTCTGTGTGGCCTGTCAGAGAGAATGGCCACGTAATGCTTCAACCACCAGTGCCTGCGAGCTGCCTAACTGTGCACTCCGTGCCGCTCTCCTCAGTGACAAAAAAATAAATCAACCGAGCAGCTCGGTGAAAGGATGCCCCTTTTTCAGGGCCTGTCCAGGATGCAAGGCCCTGCTAACTTACACTGGAAGTCTCTGTCCAACCATCAGATGCCCTTATTGTAAAACATATTTTTGCTTTCGCTGTCTGAATCACTCCCTGAGTCATGACAATACTGAATGCAAAGTGTTGGACAACAAGCAGAGCCTCAAAGATTTAAAGTAGCTTTAATGAAAAAGTTATGAACATTTAGGTCTGATTAGGAAAAAAGGAACAAATGTTTATATTGAAAAAATCAATGTTTTTTCCCCATTTCTCAATGAACATAGCCAATGCATTTTGGTGCATTTAAACAAAACAGTTTCAAATAACAGGTTAGTCCCAAAACATCTTGTAGGAATAGAAAGATAAAACATAATACATTTAAACTCAAATATAGTTATTGCAAAGAAAAAAACACAAACTACAAAATTGTAAATTTAAATAAAAAATGTAACTCATATTTTTCCCTAGTATATTCATTTGGCACTGTGACAATTTTTGTTAGTTCCAGTTTTGCATTTGGTACTGACTAATCTAATGTATTTGCACAAATATAATATTGTAAAGCTTTCTAAAGAAAATATTAATATAAAAGAGAGATCTGTGATCGGTGTAGTCATATATGCTGAGCACTGTAGATATTGTGATATTAAAAACTGTTTTAAAAGATGATTGAATAGCTCTGTTTGCAAAAAAATAAAAATAAATATATTTTTCTAATGACTGGTGTGATGCTGTAGGGGAGTGTACAGTATCTGCATAAAATATATGGAAACACATAAATACAATAGATCTACACTCTCAGAAATAAAGGTACAGGAGCTGTTGCTGGGGCAGAACCTGTTCAAAAGGTACATATTTGTACCTGAGGGGTCCATAATGGTCCCTCAAAGGTACTTTTTAAGTACATTTGGGCACTAATATGCACCATTGAGGTACCACTGTGGACCCTTTGGGTACAAATATGTATCATTTGAAAAGGTACTGCTCAAATGACAGCTCCTGTACCTATATCTCTGAAAGTGAAGGATACAAATGAAATACACTGCGCTTTTAGTTTTTGTGTTTTTTCTTCTTTAAGAGATTCTGTTAATCTATCATTGTAAAACTATAAATGTTTTATTTTCTTGTGCCTGAAGGATTTATACCCTTTTACACACTAGCAGATATAAACCATGTGAAGAAGAAACTCTCACTCTGTTATGTTTAATCCAGAAATGCGGACATGCTTTCTGAACTGTGGTGCCTGCTCAACTATGATCCCAACCTATCATCACACAATACAGTGTCAATGCTCAAACAGTATATTGTGCAGACCTAAATAAACTGAAAAAATGTAATTAGAAATGGCCAATTATACCAAATGTGATTTATAAGGAAACATTAACACTGAAAGAATACTTAACTTACTGTTAAACATGTTATTGTAAATACTGATATTCTTGATTGTTTTTTTTTAAATGTACAAACCTGATTAATTAATAAATGATAAATGTTTTAAACAATGGACTCCGTTTTCTTTCTGAATCTAAAATGCCAATTAATGCATAATTGGACTCAAGCTTAAATTATACAGTAAAATCAATGCCATTATTACACACACTGTACCACAACAGACTTGATCATCTGACCAATCAGAGCAGTGCATACTTATAAAAGTCAATTAGGTGTTTCCATTATTCATTCATTTATTTTCCTTTGTGCTTAGTCCCTTATTTATCAGGGGTCGCCACAGCGAAAAGAACCGCTAACTATTCCAGCATGTTTTATGCAGCGGATGCCCTTTTATCCACAACCCAGTACAGGGAAAGTGTCTCCATGATTTGAAAACAACAAATATTCACCTTATTTTTCAATTCAGTGACAATCAAACATTAGTAATTTTTTCCTGCTTCTAGTGTCATCTGTTTTATTGTTTTGTCTTAATTAAAAGCACACTGGTTTGTAGCAGCTTTACTGTCTGTTGCACTTTGTTTTGTATAGTTTTTTAAGTTATATGATGGTAAACTACTAAAAATAAAGATATGAGCAAATGTATTTTATTTAATTATAAGCAAGGGAAGAAAGACCATGATATATTAAGATGATGACAATATCTTTATTATTTTAATGTTTTGATTTAGTCATTCTCAAATATTGTTATTTGAAATTTAGAAGAAATGTTAGCAGACCTTGATAAAATAAAACAAATATTAATATTTTTAATCCAGAAAAACAAGTCATTTTTAAAGTAGCCTTTTTTCATTGCTGTATTTATAGTTTTGTGTACTACAATACATATTGTTCCTTTGTTCTTTTCCTTCACTGATCAGCAGCAGCTTCTCATTTTATTTATTACAACGCCTTCTCTCCATGTCTTTTATAAGACAGATTTCTTCTTTATGTCTGGAGAACGTAACCACCCAAGTCCTCATTGATTGTATGACCACAGTTTATCTTGAAGAACTCTTTATTACACTACTTCCAAACCCAGATCCATATAAATTTAAAATCCATATCAATTTAAATTTACTCATATCAATGCTACTTTAACCTAACAAACCAAGCTTTTTTGTTTCAATAATACCTGTTGTATGTATTCATATCATTGCTAGAAAAAAACGACCTTTCTTAAGATAGTTTACACGGTATCTGTTTGTTTTCTGTGTTCTATTATCCCCAAAACCGAAAGTTAAATATGATAGAGAAAGTAAAAGTGTATGAGTGTTTTGGTATTCCCCTTCAGTGTTTTTATACCATTGTGAAATCTGGTTAAGCAGGAAATTTTTTTCAAAGACGTTTTGTTTCTTGTCGCATGAAGGGGAGATCCTTGAGTCTTCAGTAAGTAACCTGCTTATTAGCATTTAGCTAATTTTATCTTATATTGGATAGTAAGAGTATATTAAAATGCTCCACTTGTTTTCACACTTGTATGCAGAAATAATGTTTTCTTGTTGCCAGAATCACATTGGCTTTTGAAGTTGTTATTCTTATGGTGTACTAGATAATGTAGACGTTAGCTGAGGCACAATCCTTAATTAATACTGCCAACACAGTTCTTAAAACCTTTGTCTTACCTTTCCCTCTCTAAACCTGTGCCTCTCTCTCTCTTTTTCTATCTTTCAGGTTTGTCCATCAGTGGAAGTAGTCCAGGAGTATTTGTGCCATGAGCACTACAAAGGTAGATTGACCGTAGAGATCTCGCTGATCTCTGAATTACTGACAATCGTTTTAGTAATATTAAGAATATAAAAATTGTCAAACAAATAAAATAACCATTAGTGCTACTCATAAGAATTGTCTTAAAATCCATGACGATGTAGTTAAATTAATTAGCCAATGATGTAGACTACATTGAAACTGTATGACGTTGCAGTAACACTTAAGTTTGGTCATTGGGAAGTACAGTATTGCATGAGTCACTGTACACCTACGTTGTATAACGTTAAACAAATTGTACTTATGAACATGCCAAAGGAAATTTGAACTTCTGATTATTTTGCTGTTTAATTACAGTTGTAAGGAAAAATCCTCCTAAAATATACTTTAATGAAAAATCTGAAAAAGTACTAAGAGATAGACTAGAATTTTCATGTGATCTCTGTCCTTTATCCAGTACTACACATGTTTGTAAAGGTTGTTCAAAATGCACAACAGTTTTTTTTTTTTTCTTAAAGAAAGAATTTATTATGAATCTGTGATTCTGAGCCTTTGGTCTTCATTACCTGCAAAAGTCTACTTTCACCGGGCTCAAACACTTTAGGCAGAATTTATTGATGAGGCAAAACAAGTATTTTAGCACAAGTTTCACAAAAAGTGCTGAAGCTGAGTAATTAAACTCTTCTTATCTAGTGTTCATGTTGTACCTGTAGGACTCAACATACCTTTTAGTTGTGACTCTGAAACCCTATGATTGGCAGTTGCTTTCAACAGAAACATGTATGATTGGTTATTATTCTCAGCTCCTAAGGAAATTTGATGCAATGTGCAGTCATTTAACTTCAATTGCAACAGTAAACATATATTCAATCACTTTGTGTAAGGATTTGGATTTTTTCATTTTGGTAGTTCTTTTTCCACAAGCATTTGTTGATTTCCATCACTGATGGACATACTGAGTTGATATAGAGGAATTACATAGCTAAAACATCTCATAATGTATTATGTAACACAAGCTACAATACTCAATTTGCTCAGGTTGTTTGCAATGGAGATTCAGGTTAGTCAGCTAATTCTTTTTTTTTTTTTTGCTATTGGAATAGAACTTAAATTATACAGTAAAATCAGGGTAACACTTTATTTTGATGATCTATTTAATTATTGCTATACTGTCTGTTAATATATGTTGATACTGCTACTAAATAGACATTATGACTATAAGAAACTTAGCAAGTACATGTCAACTTACACTAACCCTAACATTAACACCAACCTAAAAGTATAGTTATAATCTAATGAGAATTAGTTGGCATGTAGATGCAATGCAACTTAAATTTAAATAACGAACCATCAAAATAAAATGTGACCGAAATGAGTGCCATTATTACATGCACTGTACAACAGACTGGCCATCTGACCAATCAATCAGAGCACTTCAGACATTTGGAAAGAAGCAATTTAATTGGTTTTATCATTTGAAAATAAAAATATTCACCTTATTTTCATGTAGAAATGGTAACAGCCAATCAAACATTAGTAAAACTTTCTGGCTTTTAGTGTCATCTGTTTTCAGTTTTTATAAATTGTTATGCAGCTCGATAATGCGGGTTGCGGCAGGAAGATCATTCGCTCCGTAAAATGTGTGCTGGATAAGTTGGCGGTTCATTCCGCTGTGGCGACCCCAGATTAATAAAGGGACTAAGCTGAAAAGAAAATGAATGAATGAATGAATGGTTAATATATAAACATATTAAAATATTAAAATATTAACATCTTACTAATATAATGAAAATTTAGGGTAATGTTATAAGAAGTGAAAGTGTTTTCTTGTCATGTAAACTACTGTAGGAGACAAAACAAAAACATTTTATCAGAATAATAGGAACACTTTAATGTCTTTTGTTTACATGAAAATTTATAACACTTATAAAATTGCTACTATATATTTTAAAGTAGTTTTTTAGCTGTATACCTATTTAACTTTAAATTTTCTAAGTGGAAAAGCAAGAAGATATGTGGATCTGTGGAGTGTGATCAAAACCCAGCAATCTTTCCTTATTTTTCCAGTGTCCCAGCTGTGGGAGCTCTGATGTTGGTGTTTTGGACAGTCAGCGAGCGGTCTGCAGGTATTGCTCTGAAGTGAAACGGCGTGTGTTTCAGTTCTGTTGCGATTGTCAGAGAGAATGGCCACCTAATGCTTCAAGAACCAGTGCCTGCACGCTGCCAGACTGTGCACTCCGTGCTGCCCTCCTCAGCGACACAAAAATCAGTGACCCATTCAGCTCGGCAAGAGGATGTCCGTTTTTCAGGGCCTGTCCACAGTGCAAGGCCCTGCTAACTCACAATGGTGAAGGATGTCCCAACATCACTTGCCCTCATTGTCACACAGATTTCTGCTTCCGCTGCCTGAGTCGATGGTGTAGTGGGTTAA